AACCGTAGAAGTAATGACATAACTGTCGAAATATTTCAATGAAAACTGAAGTAGAGTTCTCCTTGTTGCGTACTCTTATTTTGATAAATTACACTTACACCTCGCTAGCAAAAGAAACTCTACATACCTACTCGTATCTGAGAATTAAAAAAATTGCCGTCATCGATCTCCCCCGATACGGCCCTGCACCTGCGGCGTAATTAAACCTTTTGCTTTAACAAAATTCACGGTTTGTTAGTTGCAAGCAACAAAGGTTTTTTGTTCGAAAAATTGAAAATTCGCGTAAAAAGCACGAAACTACGACGCGTAAACTTGTGACCCGCCCGCCATTTATTGTAGGCGAATAATTCGATTAAAATCGCCAATGTTTTGACAAATGGTCTTTTGTAAAGTCGATATATTTTAAAAGCTTTCTGTTGACTCGCTTGAAATCCAGTTTTTGTAATAACCCAGCTGAAATGTATTGTTTTTTGTGAACCCACCTTTGTATTTTTATCACGGCAATGATTTATGTTTACCAGACGGATTCTTTTTTAAACCTGTACCTACTCTATAAAACGGCTCTTTATATGAAACGGGTATATCTATAGCTGTATGACCAAAGCCTTTGCTGTGCATTAAAATATGCAAACTGTCACTCTACATAAAGAGTGCACCTTGGGCATTAATGAGGAGGCTCGGAGGCCGCGAGTCCTCTGTGAGGGCCGTCAAAGGGCAGGAACGTCAACACGGCTCAAAGGTTCTACTTAACATGTCAATGAGCTGCTAGCTGAAGGTGCTAAAACTATCTTTTTTAAACTGAGTTTCAGTAAGTACCTAACTATAACGATAACCGGTGTTTTACATGGGTTTTTTTTTATGTGACAGGAGGCAAACGAGCAGACGGATCACCTGATGGTAAGTGATTACCGTCGCCCATAGACACCCGCAGACCAAGGGGTTTGACAGACTTTTGGACGTTTGATAGAGTTAAAGTAAGACGGTCCAACCCAGCATTTTCATGTAGGCATATGACAGTCTAACAACTTAAACACTGCATCTTAAGTTGTTGTAGTAATGGGTGCTAGATTGTTTTGTGATGTACGTTAGTGTGATAGGTAGGTACTTAAAGAGGTTAGTTAGTATGTCTAAAACTAAGTGCTCTAAATTATGTTGTCTGTATTTAGCAAAAACAGTGTGCTTACCATGAGTTTACGTTAGGTGTGCTCGCTAGCGACTGCGTAAAAAAATGACATTAATTGTATGACATATTGTGCAGCGCCCCTAGCGGCTACTTTCAAGAAACAAAATCTTCATAGAGATTTTTGACGTACTCGCTAGCGAGCACACCTAACGTAAACTCATGGTATGAACACAGAATCCACGTTAGTTTCTGTCTGGCCTTTTCCATCCTATTTTTATAGCCTTTTTAAGAATACATTATTAGAATTACATTATATTCTGTAAATTACGGCTAAAATGGCGTATTTAGGACCAACTCATAAACACTCATAAAGACATCCTTCCTTCCGAATGCATTACGGCCTCCGTTATCACAACTTTAAACTTTATCACTTCCACTTTGGGTCCAAAGTGATTATTGTGACGGCTGGCGCTGCTCCAACTAATGCCTGATGCAGACGCGTTAAAGTTTAACAGCGATGAAACTACTGCGAAAGGGCGGGAAGGCGATTTGCTCCCGTAAGGGGCCGTCAATTTGACAGCCGGAGTGGCATTTACACCGGTCGATTTAGCGTGGTGTGCAAGGAACATGCAAGACTCAGGAATCGACGGTGATTGCTTGAATTAGAATGTCAATTCGACGGTTAACACAGTAGTAGTTGAACATAAGGCTAAATCTAAAATACTCAGGCTGAGTTGCACCACCTAACTTTGACCGTAACTTAACGATAACCGGTGCTTTTTGTATGGAATTTGTCAGATTTTTGACGTTTGTTAATGTTAAAGTAAGATGGTGCAACCCAGCCTTATTGTCTCAATCAATGTAAAACTCAATCAATGTTGGTAATATTCAACCAGCCAAAATATATCCTCATTCTTCACTTAATCTATGCTTGAAATGAATCTAGTTTCGAGCCCCGTTTTCTTTGTAGCGACCTATTTACTTCTCCATCTATATTTTTCAAGTCGGTATATTTTAATAATTAACTCAAATGACATCTTTACATACCCCGAGCGCTGTTTCATCTAAGATAGATAGAAAATTGTAAATGCCGCGCTCAGTCGTGCACAGACAGAGGCCTTTTAATATGATAATTTGGGCATCGCATTAAGGCTCTCTCTTCCTTAGCGCGTGGAGCCGCATCGCTTGGGACATTTAGGGCTATATTTTACCGGGACACCATGGCGGCGCTCAGCTCAGCTCAGCCCGCTACCAACAAAATTTTGTTGTAGCGGTGACTGGTTGCGCCGCCATGGTGTCCCGGTGAAATATAGCCCTTAGTGTTGATTTTACAACGGGGAATCAAGTGGGTGAAAACTGACATAGTTTGGAACTATTTTGAATCCTCCTGAAAAGTACCTTACCTCCGTTTGTACCTTAGTCTGAGATCTGATATAGACTCAAAACTTTTACGATTGTGGTAATTATGCTGACCGTTAACATATTCTGTCATATCATAACTACATACCTACATTAAGTCCTACTCGTAAAATTCAATTTCAAGTGGCAGTGATGACCTACTTTCTGGAACATATCAAGTTTCATTCGGATGAAGCTGCCGCTGTAAAGTTGTTTGATATGGAAAATCACGTTTGATTTCAACTCCACTCTTTAGTTTTCAGTTTGTTAAGAAAGTACATTTAGCTATACGGGTCCCTTTGACTGAAATTAAACTTTATTGTGAGGCAATAAGGTGCAAGATAATATAAGACTGAAACATTTACCCGCAGTATGTAGGTATACTCGTAGGTGGGGAAATTTCAAACATATCTTTGTTAAAATAACAGGTTTTCTTCACTCAAATAATTTTACTGCGTTTAACTAATTAGTAATTCATAACAGGAACCCTTAACGAGCCTATTGTTAAACCAAAAACGTACGGGATTTCTGGAAGGGTTAAAACGCACCTCGCGTATTACCATAATAATGGGTTAACATGAATGTGAGCTTTGTGGAATTTTATTTCATTTAACGCTTTTTATTACACACGCTATAAAGTTCTATTTTATTTGGATAGAGAAGTGTGTCCTAAATCTCTTAACTTTTGGGTGAGAACGCTAATATTCCAGATAATTGCACAAAGTGGAGATCCCATTGAGGAATCTCCTTCCTAATTTGGATTCCCATCTTTGTATTGTATGTACTATGACTTAAAGAATATCAGAATTCATCATCATCAGTACTGTCACCTCAGTTCACTGCTGGACACAGGCCCAATGCACCAGCTATACTTAAGTATCCTACAACCATCATCACATCTTGCTATCGCGGCCTTAGTCAGGCCTGATAGGAATGTCTCTGTCATCAAATTCAAATAAATATTACACAACTTAAAAACTCCACTAGTCCCAATACTTACCTGTAGAGAAATCACAACATTTTCATTCCGCGTAGGCGCCAGCAGTCATCATGACAGACATTTCATATCCGCGAGGGGAACTACAAAGACGGCAAGTGTCCCGCACACGCCGACGCCGTCAATATTTGCGACACGCCGACACGTTGCGAATGTTTCGGTGAATGTTGTCGGCAAAATAAACTTTAAGTTGCCTGAACCTTAATGGGTAAATTGTTGACAATGGCACCTAGCCTTCTTCTTAAGGCGATTAGAGTCCTCAATGACCTTGGGCGTTTGACCTTCACGCCGCGAGCAACACCCGCGTACCCCGCACCAAAAACTCCGATTTGACACCGATCAAAAATACACGGGCATAGGTAGATACAGAATAGAAGCTCTTTCTTCATACATTACTGCCTATTATTTTAAACTTAAATTGATGAACCTTGATGTCGGTGTCATTTAACTCAGGCGTAAAGGTACCTATTTAATAAAAATAACAAAATCCATGAACATTTTGTACGGGATAAAATTTTATTTTATTTTTCGTAAATTTTCTAATGCTTTTGTCGGTTCAGTCGTTCTCGAAATTTGAACAAACCCGACTTTATTACAAGCTTTTATTTAGCTTGCAATTTATGATGTACGGTCAAAGTTAGGTCACGTCAGGTGGTGCAACTTAGCCAAAGAAAAAATTCATTTTGATCGCTAATGTCAGTTTGTAGCGAGTGACACAACCTCCCCGTCTGAAGGCCAGCGGCCGACTGCCGCCCGCACCCCGCGAAGGCCCCCTCAACAGCAAAACGTTCGGAATTTATCAAAAGTAAAATTTATGAATGAAAGTAATGTTCGATTGAAAAACGCAACGTGCCATTTAAAGATTAAAGAATTCCCAATCTATTCGTGCAAAAATCTTTTAAATTAACATAGCCGTTTTGGAGTAGTAGGGAATTTAAGTAAAAAATCGATGTCCCGTATTTATTTTTTTAATCCAAAACAAAGAGACGTAGCGAAAATTCAAACGTCACAAATGTAGTCCTTGAACTGTTGTATAACATATATTTTTTTCAACTATTTCTGTCCAGCAGTAAAAGAGGAGTAGGCTTTACAAAATGCCCATTTGGCGCGGATTGAGGACACTAATCGCCTTAACTTGTGTAACACTTTCAGATCGAAAGTAGACTCGTCCGTATTCACAAACATCACTATGAGGTCTCACAGTGAGCGTTAACGCACAGGGTGTCATACGAACCAATCACAGAGCTCTTTCAACGCTGTGCGTTCGATTTGCTGCTTCACTTAAGCAAGCATAATTTGTGAATACGGGCGTAAGAACAACAATTGCGTTGGTTAACCTTCACCATTTTGATGGTCTTTCTTCTGAATTTAAAATAGAGCTTTTAACCAAAGGATTTTCCGACTTATAACCTAAAAAAAATTCTCTCGACACTTGCTTTTCGCTTTGCTTCTATTCCTAACCGACGTTTGCCATTGTTACAGGCGGTGCGGGCGCGGGCCGCTAGATGGCGCGGTGACGCAGCATGCGCCGCGTGCCGCTAGCCGCGCTGCTGCGGCTGCTATTTATCGCAGGTAAGGCTCTCTTATTGTAGCAAGTACTGTAGGCACGGGCTCATAGATGGTGTGCCGTGTTGTGACGTAGCATCAGATTTTAATGAGGGTTTTCGCGAATGAAAGATCCGCTAGATGGCGGGACGTGGATGTGGGGTCTGACTGCTGCGTGATTGGTGGATTTTGACATATCTGTCAATGTCATGTCAAAAATAACCAATCATGCAGCATTTGGACCTCGCGTCGACGTATTGCCATCTGGCGGATTTTTCATTCGCGAAAACCCTCATTGGCTCGAGAGGAGTTCATACAGATTCGAGAACATTTACAAGTCACATGTTACACTTAGCCTTAATTCATAGCACTTCTTGATGAAAAAGACTTCTAGAATTACAAATTTTAAAAACCTAAGTATTTATTTACTAGTTATTCACGGTTTATAAAATACCTATACCATTTGAAATCATCTATTTTATTAGATATACCCATATCTATTGTGAATTACTTATACGCAGTTTTTATTGTCTTACCTACAACCAAACGGCGTAGTAGACGGGGCGTGGTCGCAGACGCATAAATTTGGGAGCTACGTGGAATGTCACGATTACTACTGGGGTGGCGTAATTTGTATTATTTTTATGGCTGGCAACAAGGTATTTTCACGTATAGTTTATTAGCTTAGATTAGATTTATCTATATTTACATTACATTATGTTAATGTGGCGTAGACTAAAATATAGTGGCAATAAATCACGCCTGTTGTCATACGAGTAAACTAGAGAAGGGGTGAATACTATACATTTTTAAAACACTGATTTTCCGTTTTCTCCAGCCAATTTCCAATCCTATTTACTTACTTATTATTCGGGCATTCCACCCAAGCTAATCTATAGTATAGCTTTTATGAACTTTCCATAGCAATACAATTAACAGATATCGCCGCAATAAGCTGAGCGAGCAGCGAGCGCTGGCAGACGCATTAATTTCCGAAACTACACCGCTGAAATGGCACGATAAGTACCTCTTTGCTGCTAGTTTTGTATTGTTTTCAAACCTGTCGAGGTTTTGCAAAAATAATAGACCTCTCAAGTTCTTTCAGCACGACTGCATTTCAAGTTTTGTAGTCCTAAACAGAGATAAACGAAAGAGCGCAACGAGAAATAAAGTTACTTTTTGAAACCGAGTCATAAGAAAGAGTTCGTTCGTTCGTTCGTTTCAGCCGAAAGACGTCCACTGCTGGACAAAGGCCTCCCCCAAGGATTTCCACAAAGACCGGTCCTGCGCCGCTTGCATCCAGGTACCTCCCGCGACCTTCACCAGATCGTCGGTCCACCTAGTGGGAGGCCTGCCCACGCTACGTCTTCCAGCTCGTGGTCGCCTCTCAAGAACATTCCTGCCCCAGCGGCCATCAGCTCTTCGAGAATAGCATTCATAAGAAAGAGTAAGAACATTCATTGACGCAATGAAAGATTTATGCACGGAAATGTTTCTGAAAATTATAACTTCTGGAAGGCTTTAAAGGCAAATGATAAAGCTGTCTGTTAGAGCCATTTTATTGTGAACGCACACCTTCCCTGTTTATCTTACGGCCGACTCTCGCAACTTTTTATCACCCGACTCCAAATTGCGACCATTACCATTAAAAGTGTGGCATTCTTAATAACGAGGTCAAGTGCTTGAAAGATAATAATAAAATTTCCTGAACAATTGTCGTCGTTTATCTCAGTTAGACCGTTATAAATACCGAAGCATCTAATTTATGTAAACAGAATGCACGCCGACCACCATAGCCAGAGCTCTCCGTTCCAGCGTTTGTTTTGCCTGTTTAGCATATCTTAAAGAAAACGTAAGATGGCACAGGTCTGCGGAAGGCGGTGGAAGGGAACCGCAAAGACATCAATTACGGGGGTCTTATTCTGAAAACTCGAGACGAACCGTTTGTTTTCCGCGGATTTGCTTATCCGCTGCTTTTCTCACAATTAAATCAAAATGTTACAAATGCGCTTGAAGCAGTTAACAACGATGTTTTCAATGCGAATGGCAATCGTTTTAAATAATTAGTTAGTACTGTTTGTTTTTATGACGATGAGATAAAAAGAAACGGCTACCTTCTCCGTGTCTGTATCTAGAAAAATAAAAAATAAGAACTGAAATGTACCGTGTTTTATGCAAATAAATATTTTGAACTAGCTTTCCGCCCGCGGCTTCGCCTACGTGGAATTTTGTCTGTCACAGAAAAACAATATCGCGCGCGTATTTGCTCACCGTTTAGACCTACCCTGGACTACGACAAACATTTTAAAACCAAAATCAGCTTAATCGGCCCAGCCGTTCTCGAGTTTTAATCAGACTAACGAACATCAATTCATTTTTATTTATATAGATTAATGTTTGATTCCACTGATGTGATAAACAATAAATAACTGAGATAAAAAGAAAGTATAAAAAGTATGCAATTGAAACACGGTTAAATATTCTTCCTAAACAAAACATACATTGAAAGTGGAAATGATCTGTTTTACATAGTCAAATAGCGATTGGAAACCTGCAGCGGCGTACGGTCCGCTCAAACAATGTTTATTCAATGAGTTACCTCAGATTGGAGTCCCGATTACCCGACCAATTCGGTCTACATCGCCCACGAGCCGCATGTCAACGATGGCGTGATGCCTAGATGTAATATTGAAATGAGGTCGGCCCTAGGGAAGCACCAAGATTCCTTGTCATAGTAGACAATTGTAAAGCTAGATACATAAGATATGATACTAAATCAAGTTCGTTTGTACTCAAACTATAAAATATTCAAAATCTGTTGAAATAAAATAATGGTCAGCACCCACAATCCAGTATGAATCGTTTCATTAATAGCGGTAAATAGGAACTCGAGTGGGGGAGTAGTTACTTTTAGTTGCAGTTTAAACTTGGCGACTGACTGTGTCAAGCGTCATAACTCGTCATAATCCCACATAACCTTCTGCCATCACCACGGCAGGGCTAGGATGTGTGCTGTGATAAAATCTTTATCGATGATTTTCGACGAGTATGGGCTTATCGTGAAAATCGATAAAATGGCGCGATAAAAGTTCATTGCGGCGCGCATTCTAGCCTGGCAGGTGTGTGACGACAGGCTTTTTATAGGCTACTTACCATCAGGTGAGATACAGGCCAAGAGCTTCCTCGTTGTTGATAAAAAAGGACTTTGGAGTCTATGAGAAGCCAGTGAGTTCTCACCCTAAGTTAACCTGCTCACCGATTTGTGCTCCGGTTAATTTGATGTGCTTGCAAACTGGCGGATTATGCGTGAGCACCGGTAGACATGACAGCCGTGAATATCTACTGGTTTAAAACGACCTCACTTCTGATGGACTGGGAAAATGCTAGGTGTGCTTTGAATTGAGTTACTTCTTCTTTTAAAAATAAAGAATACCTATTGGTAATTTGTATCCCACTAAAAACATTCTGTAAAAAACTAGCCAAGTCTCGATGGAGCTGCTTGTTTATCTCTAAAAAGTAATGAAATCTAGACAAAGTCGTGCCAAGTCTATGGTACCTTACTGCGATTTCTTTATTATTATAGTTAATGTTGTTTGACTTGGCCGTTGAAGGGTACAAAACCAGGTGCTCCATGATACCATTGCACCAATCTGTCGGTCGCCAGAACCGCTACCCATTGACGATGGAAAATTGCCACTTGGAAAACATTGATTCAACAATAACCATTCAATTGTAGGTTTAATAAAGCTGCGTATTTCTATAATACTTATGTATGATTATCTTAATAAAGATTGTTCAACGGCCAAGTCACACAACATTAACTATAATAATAAAGAAATCGCAGTAAGGAACCATAGACTTGGCACGACTTTGTCTAGATTTCATTACTTTTTAGAGATAAACAAGCAGCTCCATCGAGACTTGGCTAGTTTTTTACAGAATGTTTTTAGTGGGATGGGGGGCTCTAGAAAGGAAAAAATCTGGACACCGCTTGGACGCCGCTAGCGCCATCTAGCGGTGAGCGATACAGGCGAACACCACGGTGCCGGAGTAGTATTGATTATGAATGTGGTGTTACTCCAGATCTTCGATTTTCCTAGTTTTTATAGTTTTCCCTTTATGTGGCCATTAAACCCTAACTCTGTACCAAATTTCAGCTCTCTGAGTTGATGGGAAGTACTAGTTCTATTTTGATGATCATCAGTGAGTGAGTGAGTGAGTGAGTGTCGTAAATGCGAAACTTTGCTTTCGCATAACTTCGGAACTAAATGACCTACAGACTTGAAATTTTGGATTTTAAGTATGTGATTATAGCTTACTAGATGACGAAAATTTCTGCGTTCTGGTCTTATCCAGAGGTTCTCAAATAGGGGCCTGAAAATGCGGCGAAATGGTTCCAGTAAAGGATGGTACGGCAGTGTTTGCTTCGCGCTCGACTTGGCGGGGGCACTGCCGTGCCCCCAGATTGCACTAATTTTGCTCATAGTCTCGGTAACTCCTCGTGCTAAGCTAAATAACGCTTGTGTTACGAGTGGGTTAACAACAATAGTCCAACGGTGGTGGAGTTTGAACTCCTCGGCCGGCCAGTCCAACACCTTCATCAATGGGCTATTTTCACTTCTTCAGCGCTCTAATTTCGTATTAAGATGTAGATTATTATAGCAGACATATTACCTTCAGCTTTAACAAGCGACCAAATAACCAAACTCATTAATTAAACATACAAAACATATCGATTGAAGCTTGAGTTATAACGTCCACCATTAACGTTAACGAAAAACAGTTTGGCATGTAATTGCTACAAAACTCAGCTAATAGAGCTCCATTCAACATCTAAACAGAACACTTAAAATACATAAATTCAGAGCACGTAACTGGAAATTGCTCTGAAACAGCTCCTGCTAGTTTTTGATTTTCTATTTACATTGAAACTCGAGCTGAGCGCACTGAACTTTCCAGTTTCAAAATAATTTATTTCCACCCTTTTATGTTAATGTTCGCCCATTTCGTTAAAGCAACATCTCTCCGAAAGTATTATTAAAATTGTTACGAAGCATCGAAAGTCTATAATATTCGAATATTTATTCGAAAGTTTGGAATCTGTAAAGGGGCGCAAGAGTCTACTAAATAAAAATGCGTGTTGGGAATGTTGCTTTTCTAATGATGAAGAGATGAATATTGGTTCGTTTCAACAAAAGGATACTGCTGGATAAAGGCCTCCTCCAGTGTTTTCCACTATAACTCGTTCTGCTCTACCATATTTTGAAGATAATTTAGTGCCAAAGGACTGGTGCTCTGATAGATTCTTAACTATAAACGTCACCAAAAGTTATTGAATCTAAATGACAGTAATTATGAATTCAATTAAACAACTTTCGCCGGCGGTGACGTCATTAGCGGGCCGCCACGCAAGTGACGCAATTACCGACATCCGTCACTGCTGCGGATGCGAGGCCTTCCGTCACCGGCGACGGGACCAACTTTCATAATTTATTGTGTGCTTAGGCCTTATGAAAATGTTTGGCTCATATTATACTTAAAAGGAATGTGGGAATGGCAGATCACAATGTTTCAAATATTTGTAACTGTATTTTATTGGATGTTTTGGTAGGTAGTGCGATCAAAGAGGAGATTCGTTGTATGGAGACTTCCAAATAATTCATCTGCCTATGAAACTTGGCACATGATGTCCAATAACTGTTATTACGGAAAGTTTAGTATTTTCACCTCAACATGATGCGATCTTATTGCTACCCACGTAAATGAAATGCGCAAAATAGTCAAATGTTTCACTTTTGTATTTTTTACTTCCATGACATCATGAGAACTAGGCAGTTTTACCGCAATCTTTTTTAAAACAATAATACCACAGATCACCTGAGTTTGCTCAACGCAGCTGTTATATTAACCTAATTTTCTCTTCCCCAGGCGGCGCAAACCTCGCCAACCCCTACAGCGACGACCGCGTCGACCTCAACCAAGTATGGGTGGACATCCCGCCCTCGCCGGTGGCGCTGGGCGGCGACTTGCGCGTGCGCGTATTGGGCGCGCCGCCCACCGCCGCGCTGCGCCTGCGCCTCGCGCGCGACGACGCCGACGGCCGCGCCCAACTTGCCGCCATGCCCCTCGCGCTCGACGCCGACAGCCGACTAACCCTCCCCTGCGGATACTTCTCTAGAGGCGGCGTCTACTACCTCGAACTCATCTCCGAAAACTACCTCGACTACAACACTACAAACAGAATCAAACGCGACAGCGGAGTCATTCTCGAAAGCGGGGACAGTATCATCAAATCCTGGAAATTCGACGTCCTCTGGCCGACTGCGAAATTGGATGTGACTCCGGAACAGATCCAGACGTATCCCGAGAGGCAGGTGACGGCGATCCTGGAGTTTCCAAGAGCGGTGTGCGCGCCGGTGGAGCCGGGAGCCGACTTCTGGCTGGAGCTGCTGTATTGCGGCCACTCCAGCGGCGGAGCCGTGCTCTGCGACGGGAAGAACACCAGCTCGCACGCGCACGTGCTCTACTCCGAACAGGTAATGATGGCCTGTGACAGAAGTTCCTAATGAGGGCTATCGTTTTTATACTTAACAGTTGGCACCCTTGGCGATTGACAGGACCTTACTCTACAGTGGTGCCATCTTGATGAGTGCAAATGCGATAGTCCTCCTACCACTTTAGCGCTCACCAGTTGGTGCCACTGTTTTCGCTACTAGCAAGTGACAGGACCTTACTATACAGTGGCGCTAGCTGGTGAGCGCTAAAACGATAGCCCTCATTACATAACGAAATCTGAATATTATCATTATCATCATCATCTTCAGCCATAGGACTGCTGAACATAGGCATCCCCCCCAATGCTTTCCATGTTGATCGATTGGCAGCGGTCTGCGTCGCTGTATCTGAATATACGATACTGTAAAAAGAACTTTACTAAAAACTACAGGAAAAGCACATAACTATGTCAGTTCCTGCCGTAGTGGAACAGGGAGACCGAGGAGAGTTGTAACAGAGGAGAGTTGAGACATTGACGATTTTTTGGAACTTATTAACTATTCAGCAAGCTTGCAACAGCACTTATTTGTTAGCTCGAGACTTTAACTAAAAAGCGCGCACTGTTGCGAGCTCGCTGAATAGTCAATAAGTTCCAAAAAATCGACAATGTCTCAACTCTCCTCGGTTACGACTCTCCTCGGTCTCCCCTACGGAAGGTTGTTATTGTTATATCAAAAGTCAAGAAATCTGTTACGTCACATAAATGTCACCGCACTGCTCAATTAACGCAGAAACCGACACAGCTACGAGTATACTCTATACCTGTTATGCAAGTATTTTTGTTATTGCATATGTCCCTGTAAATTCTTTAAAGGTTACAGAATAATAAGTACACAATATTAAAAAGTGCTCTGCAAATCTCAGAAGGAAAAACTTCCTCAGTTGGTGCAAACAGACAATACCTTGCTAAAACAGAAACCTAAAATGAAACTACGGTACTTAATTGACCTTGTTTCTTTACACGGTCGACTAGCACCCGAACTTCGAGCAGAGTCGCGAACTATCGTGAGTTAAAATTAAAACTTGCAAATTAAATTATACATCAAAAGGGTAACTTTCGTTTTGCGTTCTCAAAAAAGAAGCCAAAGTTTAAACGAACCACAGAGCCGAAACAGGGCATTGAGACTCAAAAGAGGTATAAAAAACATCTCACGCTCTTAATTAACAAGATTTCTCCCTCGCGAAGGTAATATTTACTCTATAATTTGTTTGCCAACTAAATAAACGTTTCTACCTCTATTTTCTTGAGCTTATGTTGAGCTGCAGTTATTAAATTGGCTCAGGTTCAAAATGAATGGATTACTGAAGTAAAATATTATGTTATATACGGCATTAGAAAATCTAACGTTTTTAAATAATATTCACTCATGTAATAAGTTTCCTCTTATAGGAGTTTTCGCGAATAGTTACTGTGGATCATTTATAAAAGATAGTAATGGTATGAGACAATATTATTGTCACGCCCACATTTTCTATACATATAAATGGAATCATTCTACCTACGTATGAGAAAATTGGTTTTTCAAGATAATAAAGTAACTTTCCATCAATCTGGGGTAAATGTTTTGATTACATAATGAATGAAATACAAAATATGGCCTTATAAAAATCTTTCGTAATCGATTCGCCCGCAGCCTTATTTTGAATCAAAAGTTGATTAATAAAAATAAAATACTATTCATAGTATGTTCGTTTGTTTAACATAAAATAAGGTGCATATTTCTATGATCTAACCAAAATGACACAAGCTGATAAAGTTAACTTTAACAGTTTTAGTCCTTATTGTGTTTATGCTACTTTAGCTGTCTGCTCTTTCCTTCAGTCTACTCAGCTTACGTTGGAAAAGTTCTCGAGTGGCGACCACGGGCTGGAAGACGTAGCGTGGGCAAGCCTCCTACTAGGTGGACCGACGATCTGGTGAAGGTCGCGGGAAGAGCCTGGATGCGGGCAGCGCTGGACCGTTCATTGTGGAAAACCTTGGAGGAGGCCTTTGTCCAGCAGTGAACGTCATTCGGCTGAAACGAACGAACTCAGCTTACGCACCATAAAGGCAGTTTTTCTATGCTGTTGGCGCAGATATACCCAAATTAACGTACCTAATGACTATTATAATTTAGGAAATTAAGGGTTTGTTCTTTGTACATAAACTGATTCTGTGTAATCTCTAGATGCACGGGTTCCCGGGGCGGCGGACTATGACGCTGCGTTGCGAGCTGTTCGGGCAGGCGGGGGACTACGCCCTCACGCTGCGTCCCGCCGCCCCAGCCGGCCCACAGGACTCCGCCGCTGCCTTCATCAAGGTAACCAGCACATAGCTTGTAAACCATACCCTTCGTCGTAGATGCAAGGGATAAAGGACGCTGCGCTGTGAGTTGTTTGAGCAAGCGGGGGACTACGCCCTCACGGTACGCCCCGCTGCCCCAGCCGGCCCGTAGAACTCTGCCGTTGCCTTCATCAAGGTAACCAGCACATAGCTTGTATACCCCTCGGTGTAGATGCATGGACTCCATGACGCTACACTGTGAGTTGTTTGAGCAAGCGGGGGACTACGCCCTCACGCTACGCCCCACCGCCCCAGCCGGCCCACAGGACTCTGCCGCTGCCTTCATCAAGGTAACCAGCACTGGCTTGATAGACCCTCGTAGATGCATGTGCTCCCGGAGCAGCGGACTATGACCCAGCGTTGTAAACTGTTCGATCAGGACTATACCCTTACGCTGCTCCCCGCCGCCATATTTATCAAGGTAAGCAGCTTATAGCTTGTATACCCTTAGATGCACGGGCTTCATGATGCTACACTGCGAGCTGTTCGGGCAAGCGGGGGACTACGCTCTCACGCTACGTCCCGCCGCCCCAGCCGGCCCACAGGACTCTGCCGCCGCCTTCATCAAGGTAACCAGCACCTAGCTCGATGTAATCAAGCCACGATAGCTGAACGGTGAAGGGGTCGGACTGGCCGACTCGTGATCCGGGGAACGCGGGTTCGCCTATTGTGGTGAGCTCACTCGTGACACAAGCATATTTAGCTTAGTACGAGGGGCTAACGGGAGTATTAGTAACTTCATTGTAGATGTACCTACAAGGTCCCAGGGTAGCTGCTGATTGGTCATTTCGAACTCCTTCTTTAATCTTCTAATTAAATTCGTTACAGGTTCCCTCGACAGCCTCAACCTTCACTGGTTGGCTTTCATTGATGTCCTGGCTATAAGAATTGCACTAGTTGAAAATAAGGATGACATTAGTCGCGTAAAGGAATCACAGATAATATTATCAGAATCTTAAGTAGTTCTCATTTCTTAAAAAAAATATTGAAAACGATTGATTGAGTTACGAGACCGAGACCTCGGAAGATAAGAGACAATTTGATTGTGTATTGTATCTGCCCACTCACATGTGGAAGTATCGGCGTATCACGTGCTCTATAGTAATAAATAACGCACCCCAATAACATCTGCACTCACAAGCAGCGAATATCGGAGCTGAAAACCCTCATAAAATATGAGCACAAGAGGTCCGCGACGGCAATGAATCTCAAAGGCGCGGATACCTTCCACGTTTTTGTGAATTAGACACAATGCCCATAAATATCGGAAATCCACAGCCAGAAGGGAATATTGAGAAACTAGTTCACACGCAAAAAAATGCTAGAAATAGTTGGCACATTCGACCATTGTTGCAAATGTGAATTAAATTAGCTCTTCATTGAGCCGGAGCCAAAATAAGTGACAGTGGCCAGCAGTATTTAAATATGCAAATAACTCAATGTGTCAGTCATTAAAATATCAAAATTTAAAATGTGCCTACTAATGGCTTTTCGATCGCTGAATTATTCAGCCAAACGAAATGAGGACGTTTCCCCACGCCTACACAGACGGATTTGGAGCAAATTATATTTCGATGATTATTCTGGGATTTAGGAATTATTATATCCGACGTTCCAATAAATACCTATGTCACCACCCACGGTTTGAACGCCTCAATCAGAGTCTATTCAATAAATTTTATACACCCAGAATAAATGTATTAGGTAATAAAAACCTTGATTCAACTATTTACGTGTCCGATCTTCTTATGAAAAAGCAACTGTTATTATCCCTTAGTCATTGAATATATGGCTTTTTTGGGAATTTTCTTTAATTTAAATTAATTCTAAAGAAGATATTTTGCCATGAGAGTTACGAGTAGTGTTAACTGCATATTGCAGGCACTGTAAACACCATCACAAGCAGAGAAGGTAAATACCAACCGCTGAAGTATAGTCACAAAATAAAATTAAATGATGGGTCTCCTACGGATATCCTTATGTATGAAATGTGAGCCAAGCTGCGGTGAACTATAATGTTATAAATGACACGTATTGAGCAGTTTACTACTGCCTGAGAGCTGTGTGGAAAGGAGGTCCCAATAGGCATATTTTTTGCCAGGTTCTTGAGCATAAGCATAATAATATCTGTACTCTCGCCAACAATCGAGAATTTAAAGTTAGCAGATTTTCAAACAAACATTTAAAATAGAAAACTTTCTAATCCAAAGTCGAACCTCGCTTTTTTCACAAAACAATTCACTTCTCACTCTTTACTGACCATTTGCCTAATTATCCAGTTAAGTCCACTTATTATAATTCAGCACACAACTTAGTAACTTGTAGCCATTATATTTTACAGCTGGCGTTATTTACTAACTTCAAGCAATGTACAGTCGCNGTTTAATCAGCGCTTTCTGCCAGTCTTTAGGGAAAACACCTGTGGTGATCGACCTATTTACAATTGACGTTATTGTTGCAAGGGATTGTGGCAAAGTCAACAATATCATGTCAAGAGAGATACCATCTAATCCTACGGCATTTGATTTTAAACTTTTCAATATTTTTAGAACCTCGATTTCATTAACCTGTTGTATATTAAATTGATTGGAAACTATGCAATTATATTCAAAAAAAGTCAATTGGGATATGTCCACGCTGTCATCACCAGGAACATTTAAAAAATGACCATTGACTACGTTAGGGTCACTGCAAATAGTGCCTGGGTTGTCAGGCATTGTTTTTAAACGCACATGTTTTTTTATATGCGTCCATACGACGCGAGGATCATTAGTTTTGTCATTAATGTATTGATCAAAATATACCCGTTTTTCCGTATCAATAGCCCGATCCACACAGCGTTTAAGGTCCTTATAATATTCCTTATGCTCGACGCGTCCAGACTGACGCGCCCTAGCCCAAGCTTCATCCCGTCGTTTCATCATCAATTTAATATTATATGTGAGCCATGGATATTGATGAAACTTAATATTTACAGTCCTTAATGGCGCATGTATGTCAAAAATATTTATTACATAGCAATTAAATTCCTTCACCATTTCATTCACATCACTTAATTCACATATCCGTCTCCAATCTAAACCTACGACATGTTCTCTAAATAACTCCACTTCTATATCCCCAATGGCTCGGCGTCTCAATTTGATTGGTTTTGATTTGAATTTCTTAATATTTACCTCACACACTATAAAAGCGTGACTACCCAAGTCTTGTATGTGATCTATCAGGTATCTATGTGATTTATCAGCTACTTATGTTATTTTTTACTTTACTAAATAGATTCTATAGATGTTCAATATTCTTGGGGACTGTCTGGGCAGACTAATTAGTTTTTTATGTTTGGGTTGTGGTGATTGAATCAACCTTTTTACCTTTTTGTGTGACAAGAAACTTTAGCTTTTTTTACCGCAATCACACATTCGCACCTGATGCTAAGATGCAGTCTAAGATGGTACATAAATCTGCCCTATAAGTGCCTATTCCCTCTCTCTTCTTGAAAAGGCCCGGATTATAGTGCTCGGGAAAGACAGCAATAAGTAGGGGGCGAATTCCAGTCCCTAGCTGTTCGCATTATAAAATAGTTATCCAAAACCTTATTGTGATATAAGAATCTTTAAAAATATACCCTGAAAAATTTCGCTATCCAATACCGTAACCTAATCTAGCCGTATCAATTTTCAGTACAAAACCGATAAATAGAAGGGAGAAATAAAATGAAATATGGGGTAACCGAGGTCGAACGGCGGAGAAAAATATTGTAGTTCGGCTCACTTATTAGTGAGTAGCCGAGTCTTTGGATGCCCCGCGCGTAGGGGCCATTACTCAGCTAGTTGGGCTTTTTCTCGTTCCTCTTGGATTCTTAATAAATTTGAATAGAAAGCGCATCGACAGGAGAAAAGATTTCAAGTTATTTTCGTTCTACAATTTTTAATAAGCTCTAGGGAGTTATTGCAAATCTGTGAACTCATCTTAAGTAATGGATATAATTTTATCATAATAATTTATCATTACATTTGTAAGATGGTTGTCTTTTGTTAACAAGCCGAGCCGCTACGCTACAAAAGCGAAAGGTCCAGACTGAAAGATTTTTTTTTTTCAAAACAAAGAAATAAAATGATACTGGCTGTTTAGAAAAAAATTAGTTCGCGCGTTGTTCGCAAACCGCGAAGTGCATAGAAACTCTTTTATCAGAACTTTCATACTGGCATGGCCCCAAAAAGATTCGAAAATTTTAAAAAGAAATCGATCTTTATTTGTCTTCTTGTAAAATTTTCCGAGGAGGCGGTAAGTTTGTATTTATTTACTGGTGGGAGTTAATTTAAAACAATAATTGTACTGAATAACAATAAATATTACTGACTCAGCTCACTGAGGTTGTGATTATTATCACAAAATACCAAGACATTTGCGCGAGAGGTCGAGCAAATGTGCCTTGAGCCCGCGCGAAGATTTCTCACGATATCTCTTTGGCCTTTTCATTAACGGATTATATTTTCGTAGTGCAAATACAGCATAACTATAACCTTAATTGTTTTCATACCATTTCATTACAGGGAAATCTCTTTGATTCTCTGATTTTTTTCATGTTTTAATTTTCCTTTTAACTAAAATAGTAAGACACGGGTCTTAACGCAACGTTTATTAATGAGTTACATTATGTACTCACGGCTTGACGTTTCGGCTGCTATGCTGCAGCCGTGGTCACAAGCAGACTGGCGGCTCGCGGCGTCTTATTATTTTAGTTGAAATGGAACGCGAAAGTTTAAAATCTCAATTTTCTCTTGTTCTCAGGCGGACTGGTCGGAGCAGTTCGTCCTAAACGTCCACGGAGGGTCGGTCCTGCCGTGCACCGACGGTCAGCGAGTACTTTTCCAGTATCCTGAGTGCGTGCTAGAGGGCGCTGACAGGATCAGGGTGTTCGGGAGGGACGGCGAGCGGCTAAGATACGTCGCCGAGCAAAGGGTGAAGAGGTAACAACATAAATTGAAAAATTAAGTCTTAAAATGTAAATCGTCGTTGACGAATGAATACCTCGTAAGTCAAATTTTTAGTAAAATCACTTTTTATTGTATAGTAAGAAAACCTCTCAATGCACATTTCGAGTGTACCTATATTCGAATGGGATGATTGTAGTGCTATCTATCGCGTTCAATTAAATATTCAGGAGATGGATTTTTGTCTTTCCTGAAAAATTTTGTATTTGGTACTCCCGAGGTTTTTACTCGTTAACAACGAAATGTGTATCAAATTTTCTTGCTTTTTCGTGCAGTAATTTCCCTGTTAGCCTTTATGTACGTCATACTACATCAAAAACCTTACTTTAATCGTAACTATAACCGGTGTTTTTTGGATCGAGTTTGACTGATTTCTAACATTTGTTAAAGTTAAAGTAAGATAATGCAACGCAGCCTTAGACATGCTAATTTTAATTCATACTATATGTATGTAGCATTCAAAGCAAATAACTCTGGGTAAATTCGTTGTCCAAAACGATTGGGTTTAATTATACATATAGTAGGTAGGTAAATTTACTACAGAGGGCACTTTTGACCTTACGGCCCAGACATAGCCAAACTCAATTTAGAAAAGTTAGTTTCCTAATTTGACCTAACCGGAAATTGAACTTGGACTCCTAGCGCTCAAGGGTATTGACGGCCCCGCTGCGCACACATTGTTAAAGTAAATACAGGGAATATAAATTGTTCATTCAGTAGTAAACGTGTTTCATTTTACAAATAAAATGTATGTTCATTAAAAGTTTCCATTAGTAATTTTAGAGGCTTGTAATTAATTTTATTGTTCTGAATACGCTCTACAATCAATTTTCTATATTAAATTTGTGTAACATGTAAAATTTAGCGACCAGCCCAGGTTTCGTAGTTAGTGCAATGTACCATTTAAACGGCAAAACCTTTACCTACAGCACTCTATCGTCTCTATCTATGGATGAAAATTTCAAATAATTTACGTAGTTTAAAAAATATTAAGCGCACGGATAGAATCTGTTTACCTCTACCATTTAGAAAATATAAAACTGTTTGGTTTGCAATGTATTTCATGTCTATTTACGTTCAAACACCAAGCCAATACGGATTTATGATTGTGATTAATCACTACCCCGGATATAGTCTGATCTAATAGATTGCCGTATTTACCTGTACAACTCCGACCGCAGGCAATCAGGCCGATCAAACGCGGCCGCTAATTTGGCTCGGTCGGGAATCGACCGCGGGTATCTGCGCATTGCCACCTAATTGACATCCATCGCGATTCCGTGGTACATTCAATGGACTATTTTACTATTTAGCTTTACATTGGCTTTCAAAATAAGACATTGTGGCCACGGATGGTATAACAACATATAACATTACAAAACTATGTCAATGTGTATTGTGTACATTGAACGTTTGCTTGATGTGCAACCACTCATACATGAACGTAACTAAGTAACTAATACCTAGACTTGATACACGATAGTTTAGGAACTGCTGCTCTACACTCTTAACTACAGTAATGTTGGAACCCATCAGCAACTATGAAACTTTAAACTCATGGGCGTCTTAGCTATATTAACTGACTGGACAGTTCGTTCGTTCGTTCGTTTCAGCCGAAAGACTGTAACGAACATTGTCCACTGCTGGACAAAGGCCTCCCCCAAGGATTTCCACAAAGACCGGTCCTGCGCCGCTCGCATCCAGGCACCTCCCGCGACCCTCACCAGATCGTCGGTCCACCTAGTGGGAGACCTGCCCACGCTACGTCTTCCGGCTCGTGGTCGCCACTCAAGAACTTTCCTGCCCCAGCGGCCATCAGCTCTACGAGCTATATGCCCCGCCCACTGCCAGTTGATTTTAGCGATTCTGCGGGCTATGTCATATGTATGTCACTCTGGTTCTCCTACGAATCTCCTCATTTCTGATTCGATCACGCAGTGACGGACAGTAAATAATTTGATTACAATGTTTTTTTTAATACCACCTAAAATAATAATAATATTTGAAATAGTTTGATCAAATAAACATCCTGTTCATAAGTACAGCTCACTAATTTGTTAATTCAATTGGTTTCGAAGCCGGTATGCGTATCGTTACACTTTACATTAGCTCATTGTTTATGTAATTAACAAGCCAGCAGATACGGCCATTAACATAATGAGTATTTGTTCTGATTATAATTGCAGATTTAATGAAATGTTCAATGTTACCGTTGTTAATTGTCGATTGAGTTTTATTAATAACCTGATGTTCTGTTACGGTATGACACATTAATTTATTATTTATTGTACTTGTGTCAGATAATAATCTAACGAGCAGATGATATTATCTACATTGCTAAATTAGATACAAATATAGAAGTACCTTACCTATCCTTCCCACTTTGAGACAAAATATGATAAGGAGGAACTAAGTCACTTCTGTGAAAAATAATTTTCAATATGAAATAGAAAGAAAGAAAGAAAGATACATTTATTACAATGGACATCACACAAATACAAGCAATTAGGTACATAGACATGACAGGGGCACATAATAATGGAAAAGAAAAACAAGAGTAAACAGAGCAGTGCCACCCATTCACCAACAAGATGCCCACTTCAACGGGATCCCACTCAGCATATGCCGTGGCCCACGGTGACGAAGGCCACGGCCGCGGCGCTGGCAAATAGAAGCTATGTTTATCGGAGGTAATTTTGTACTCTTGTTTACCAGGTAAATAGGCAAACACATAATAATAAACCCAATTTACATTTAATACATATAACTAAAATAGTTAAAATAAAAAAAATATCACATCTCACCTCCCCTCCATTTTGTTAGCAAACGGGCCCTTGTTTCTAGAAACTGAAGCGTAGTATTTGTTGACAGAGGTCAGCACACAGCCTCCTTCGACTGCAGACTGTTCACGGAGCGCTACCCCGAGTACTGCTTCGTGTACGTGTCGCAGGCTGTGACCGGCGCCGTGACTGACGTCAGAATGGACTGCCTGCCCACTTCGCCTCTATCAGGTAAGCTTAACTGCTAGTTTTACTGGTCATTTGACAGTCTTTTTGACATAAAAGACTTGTATCTACTTATCTGCCTTTGATAAATATTAAAGCCAAGATCCAAGATAGTTTTTTTTTTTTCAAATTCAAATAGTTTGTTCAGTACATATGCCCTTACTAGGGCACTATACAGTAGTTTTATCAGCCTAGTATTTTTTTTACTTATATTGGTACTAATTTTTACTGAATAGGAATAGGGCAATTAGGCATTCCGAGCGCAGTATCATGGTGACATTGTTTGACTTATTCTTTATCTGGTGCTTCTGTATCTTATGTTCCCATTATGCGGTATTTCGATTTTTCATCAAATCTCCCAGAAAGGTTTGACGACTCTTATACTGGTATGTATAGTCAAACGCGGGGTTATAATTAAAAGGAGAACCCAGCCACTTGAAAAAAATGTTATCTTTAAAGATACTGAATAAACATTTTTTAATTTTTCATATTCATTTTTCACCTTTGACAAATCCCTAAGTATTGATTTATAATACGACATACCTATTTATTTCCCGCTGTTTTAAAATTCGTGGGTGATGCCTATGTCCAGCAGTAGACGTCCTTTGGCTGAAAGAAACATACAAATAATCTAGCATACTTAGATGTTAACAAAGCTGGTTATTTGTTTGCACCGCCTAGGCTTACTCAAATTCTCTGTTTTGCCCTAAATTTTTGGTTAACTGGAAGAGTAGGTATTTCACATGGAATTAAGCTCGCCTGTTGTACCGATATTTAATATGTGTGTGCAATAAAGATTTTAAATTAAATTAAATTGCTCCAGAGGGCGGCGCGGGCGGCTGGAGCGAGTGGTCGGCGTGGTCGCCGTGTCCAGCGCCCACGCACTGCTCGACGCGCACGCGCAGCCGCCACCGCTTCTGCGACTCGCCGCCGCCAGCCTACGGCGCTAAGCAGTGCGACGTGAGTACTAAAATACTTAATATTGATCCCCGTAGGCCTGAGGTGCTGCCTAATTCAAGCCCTACTTACAGGTGTTAATAAATTATAAACTGTGGCTGGTTATAATGTTGCAAGATACAGCTAAGAGCCCGACAAGTACTGCGCGCGTGATTGTTGTAATGAGTGAGTTACGACGGCCTCAGTTGTCACTAACTACTCATATCTAAGCAAGTTATTGCCGATCATACAAACTTCGTATGAATTTCTTTCTTTTTGAGATTAAAATGTTAATTTTTTGTTTCTTCTGAGTACTATATGCCCGATCAGTCTTGCGTATTTGGACATTGATTTGGACTGACAATTCATGCTTTCTGCGAGGTAGCTAGTTTATTCGATATTAACTTAAATGTTTAATGTTTTGTGCTCTGTATTAAAATATTAAATCGGTGTGTGTGAGTATGTATGCCTCAACTTTCATTGAGCGACCTACATTAATATGAAAATAAAGGAAGTTGTATTATGTCGAAGGTCGTATATTGCACTTGTCAAGAGTGATAAACACTTTCATTGTTGTTGTTTGTGGGTGTTGCGTAGAAACATTGCCTAGCAACCTTTGTTATGTCAATGCGAAATTTGCGCCAGCTGTCACAACAATACAAGTTTCACGTAATCGCTTATTTTTAAAACACTTACAAATAAGTCCAAAAACAATTTAAAATGGCACCAAAGAAAGATAAGAAGAAAGAAGAGGAAGGAGCACAAAAAGGCGGTGGCGGCGGAACATTCACAGAAGTTGAGAGGACATTTTTGGAACTCCAGGTAGCGGAATGTAATCGAAAAATTGCTAGGCTTCGATCAGCTGTAGACGAATACGAGCAGCGAAATGAAGAACTACAAAAGGCCTATGATAAACTTGATGAGGACAGAGCCGACATTATTGCCTACTTGAAGAAAACACTAAATGTTAAGAATGAGGAAAACAATGAGCTCAAGGACAAAGTGAAAGGTCTTGAAGAAACGCGGGAAATAGAGACAGCTCAGTTCAAGGAAACAGTCAATGAACTGGAAAGAAATTTCACCATCATGAAAGACCAACTTACATCTGAAAATAAGTTGTTAGCCGGAAAACTTAACACTTTAGAAGAGTTCAGAGCTATAAGAGATGACTTGATGAGGAAATTCGAGAAACAAGAACAAGATTTTAAAGATCAAGAAATGAAATACAAAAGGATAATTTACGACGCAGAGAAAAAGTTTGTGATCGGTAAAGATAAACTTAAAAAAGAAATGGAAGGTCACCTGTTGCAACTTGCTCAAGATTTTCAAGATGCTACCGAGTTGAGAATAGCCGCGTCAACACACAGGGTTATTAGAGAAAATATTGCAATTAATAATGAGTTAGATAGCATTTTGTCAACACAAGCAAAGTTAGCAGAACAAAATGAGAGATACAAAGAAAACGAAAGGGCCGCTCGTATTGCGATGGAACTAGCTGAAGAGGAGAGAGATAAAGCTATAAATAAGAATGTTGTTCAACTTAAAGTCATTGACCAATTAACAACAGCATTTCAGGAAATTAAAAAAGAACGAGCACAGTTTGAAAAACGGAACTATGATTTGGAAACACTCCAAGCAAAAATACAACGTCTCACAAAAGAAAACGATAACCTTTCATTACAAGTTCGTATTTTAGAACAAAATCTTCATGCTAAGTTATGCGAACAGAACAAATCTGTGGTTGAATCGTCTAAGATAGCTAATGAGTGTATCAAGTTGAAGAAGATATTGAAAGAAGCGGGTATAGCTATACAAGCCGCCTTGAAGCTGGACCAATGGGCTACAACCGATCCAACCAGAGAGATAATGGACAGACAAATTCTTTTGTCACGCTTGCTTGACATAATAACACAGTATCGTGAAGTTCAACGCACAGAATCTATTGAGACTCTGGCATCCCTTGGAAAAGTCTACGAGGAAGGAGACCTTGGTTTTATACCAAAACCTGTGCCAAAGAAATCGGCCGTTTCTGCTGCATTATCACACGGATCTCGAGAGTCTATTAAAGCTGAGAAACGTAGCACATCATCTATTTCTGTAACGTCTTCTTCACTCGGCAGCATAAAGACAATACCAAGCTTGAAGCTAGTCCCGCACACTTCTCAGCCAGATCTTACGGCCAAAGACAGTTTGCCATCGTTTGTGACTTCAACTAAGTCTAGTGAGAGTGAGAGCGCAGCAGAACCAGAGGAAGAAGAAGCAACAGATGACATGGAAAAGAAACTAGCGCAGAGCAAGCTTGAGATTCAGAGGTCAATAATGAAAGACTTGGCGTATTCACAAATGGCGCTGCAGTCGCAGGCTAAGTTCAGCGAGCAGCGAATGTCCAAGTCCGTCGTCATAATAGAAGGCGAGGAGCCAGTGGAAGGTGAGGATGGAGAGAAAGTGGAAGGGGAACACGTGGAAGGTGAGGAGAAGCCAGAAGGAGAGCCGCCTGTCGAAGGAGAGGAGAAGAAAGAAGAAGCAGAAGCACCTGCTGACGAGCCAAAAGATGAGAGCGGTGATTAGTTTATTTGGGTAATTTTAGAGCTGGATACTATTTTACAAAAGCATCGTATTTTTCTAATTGTGTAACATTTTTATGTAGCTGTCATTGTACTTTAATAAATATCGTATTTTTTACAAAATGGTTTCTATTTAGTATTATCGTAATGCTTTCTTTAGTAATGATTAAAATGGGGTTCAAATCTATAAAACACACAAATTAATATACCCCTGAATACATTAATAAACACTTTAGGCTGGTTTTAGTGTCACGCGGACTGTCAGTGCTGATCGCTCCGCACAGCCGATCTGTATGAACTGCTGAACTGCGGAGCGGTTCCTCCGGACCGCATTACTCTAAAACGCTCCCTAGAAGTTCATACAGATTGGCCGTGCGGAGCGGGTCCGCACCGGCACCGGACGGTCCGCGTAACACTAAAACCAGCCTTACTTATTCTACAATATTGATATAACATACACATTCCCTTAAAGCTATCAATAGCCTGAAACTCACCAATTTTGTATACGGAATAAGTGCTAGTGCTTTTAACAACCTAAGTTGTTAAAAGCACTCGTCATATCATAATAACAGACTGAAATAAATCGATTCTATCTGTCGAGACACTACTCAATGTTTGTAGACTAGACTGATAGTCTCCTGTTAAGAATTAATACCATGAAAACCTCTCCTATCAGGGCGAAGCGGTCCAGCTCGAAGCGTGCGAGTGCACAGCGCCGCCCTGGCCCGGGGACAGCTCAGCCGTGGTGGCTGAAGTGGGCGCCAAGTGCCGCTGCGGCTGCGTGTTGCACCTGGCGCCCGCAGCGCGCCTTTTGGCGGGCTCGGCGCGCGCTTGCTCTGGCCGCTCCTTCTGGCTCATGCAGGTAGGACACCAGGGTAAAATGTGACGTCACAGCACCGCCTGGCCCGGAGACAGCTCAGCCGTGGTGGCTGAAGTGGGCGCCAAGTGCCGCTGTGGCTGCGTGTTGCACCTGGCGCCCGCCGCGCGCCTACTGGCGGGCTCGGCACGCGCTTGCTCTGGTCGCTCCTTCTGGCTCATGCAGGTAGGACACAGCGGCGCCGCGTGACGTCACCGCACCGCCTGGCCCGGAGACAGCTCGGCCGTGGTGGCTGAAGTGGGCGCCAAGTGCCGCTGCGGCTGCGTGTTGCACCTGGCGCCTGCCGCGCGCCTATTGGCGGGCTCGGCACGCGCTTGCTCTGGCCGCTCCTTCTGGCTGATGCAAGTAGGACTCAGCGGCACTGTGTGACGTCACAGCGCCACCCTGGCCCGGGGACAGCTCGGCCGTGGTGTCGGAGGTGGACGCAAAGTGTCGCTGCGGCTGCGTGTTGCACCTGGCGCCCGCCGCGCGCCTATTGGCGGGCTCGGCACGCGCTTGCTCTGGCCGCTCCTTCTGGCTCATGCAGGTAGGACACCAGGGCGCCGAGTGACGTCACAGCGCCGCCTGGCCTGGTGACAGATCGGCCGTGGTGGCTGAAGTGGGCGCCAAGTGTCGCTGCGGCTGCGTGTTGCACCTGGCGCCCGCTGCGCACCTACCCCGGCCGTTCCTTCTGGCTGATGCAGATGAGCTACAATGCTTCCCAAGGACACCAGGGTAACGTGTGACGTCACAGCACCACCATGCCATAGGGACAGCTTGACCGTGAGATACAAGTACCGCTCCAGCTGCGTAGTACCACAGAATAATAACAAGTACACCTACTACTTAGCGTATTACTCGGTGTGATTTCTGACGGGCTTGGTGCACGCCAACTTCTGGTTAATGAAAGTGAGTCATAGGGTACCAAGAGAATCAATATGAGGAAACAAAACCACAGGAACATTACGTTCTGTACATTTGCAAACACTTTAGTTAGTAGATAGGTCGTGTGCGCCGTTTGCGAGCTTTCGTACATAACGACCACTTCATGATGGATGAACTGATAACGCATTGCGTAGCAACAATCGCATCGATCTAATTGTAATTTTAAAATACTGTCTATTCTGTATTTACAGTCAATACGCGAATATACTGTGTAAAAATTCAATTTGATCTCCGCGAGGAAATTCAACTCACCAAACAACTTGTCAAAAATCAGTCTTGATATTTATACTAATTAAAATTCATTTATCCACTATAAATGCTCGTAACATCTGCATGAATTCAATCAGAGTTCGACACGATAACAAATACAGCCCATGGCTCGATAGATTGGTGTAAGCAATAAACTTTAAGCCTGTAATTTTTTTTATCGTAAACTCCTCTACTATATTCGTAGCAGACCTTTATAATGTAAGGACAAAAACTATTAGGTATGTTGATTGTGCGGTAATTAAAATAAACGTAAAACGTCTAACTAGTCTTCATATCACAAAACCTACAAATTGCACCATCGATAACAAACTATTTGTGCTGAACTCTCGGCGCTTCAGGCGGTGCAGAACATAGAACAACATTTTAATACATTGGAAGTTGAAATTGATGTATGCTTCGCTACGATCACTTCTATCTTTACTTGCATAAACGACAAATGCTTTGTTCCTATAAATGTTTTGAACCGTCCAATGAAATGGGTTTATTTTTTACATTAGACACAGTCATGTAAGTGTCAATAATTATTTTTACAACGTTCTTGATTATTCTTTATGTCTGGATTTCGTAAACTTATTGAACAGTAAAATCTTGAAACGAAAGCTGACGCTGTAAAAACAGTAACAATCTTAACAAAAAGTAAAACAACTGAAAAAAAGTCTTTCATTTCTAACAAAAACGACTAATGAATCTAATTTACGAAAGTCTACTGTGGGCAGTTTTAGTAGAGCAATAGCAATTTCACTTACAATAAGAAATAATTCAAGGAAACTGACAAAGAAAACGTAATGAATTCCTGAAACTACTCTACTGCGGACGTAAATATTTATAGTCTCATCGGTAACAAGAATTTCCATCACAAGTAATTAAACGAAAAAGCTTTTCATGATTAATATTTAACTATAGTCCAAATTGAAACTAGCGATATTTCAATTTCCAAAAGTTAGTTTATTGTTTTCAGTTTTAAACAAGATAAGTCTGTTAGTCATTCCAGTAACTAATAAATTATAAACTTCTGTAAATATGTAGGATATTCTATACCTAACCGATGCAACGTTGCCAAGTAATATTAGGTAAATATTCTCCTGTAAATGTTTTTATGCCATTGCCATGCCATTACATCAAATTATTCGAAACTTGATTTGCGAACTATGAACCGAAAGTTTCTCCGTAAAATAACAACGTTTGCCGGAATTACGTAGTTATTAAGTGGGGTCGATCGAACAATTTCGAGCCCGATGAAATCGGCAAGTTTTAATGACTTGATGGCGATACAAATTCAATGCAGCCCCGTTTAGTCGCGAGCGCCGGTAGCTTGTCACTTAGTTGTTATGACAACGAGTTTGCGAAGTTAATATGGTATTCAATACTACGGCTGACAACCCTAAACATGTTAACTAACAACCAAATAGACGTGTAATATTATTATGTGGCTACGGAGAGTGTGTTGACTTGAGACAGTTTTCTGCTATAAATATGAAAATACATTAGAGACATTACAAGGAAATATTTCTGGGAAATGTATAAATAGGTAACATTTATTTAGTGACGAAGACTTTTCCACTATTAATCCTTGCAAACAAACCAAACTACTCACGCCCATTTTATGTAGTTACTTGATAGAGATCTTAGATTGCAAATTGACTTAAACTTGAGATCGAGACAGCTCAATAGTCTATTGAATGGATTTTTATCATCTAGAATCTACTCGCGGCTTTTCCTGCATTTTATTTAAAAGCAATCTTTTGCAATCCAAAGTCTACGTGCGCGATTTTTGCTCTGAATTTCAGACCATGAAATTATTTAACCCATAATGCTCAGTGACCATGCTAGTAAACTTGCCTCAGTAAACGAGCTCATTTTGCTCCCAGAATTAGTTATAAGTGCGTCAAAAGCCGGCGAACGTCAACGATGTAAGCCGCTGCCCCGGGCGGCGCGCGGCTCAGATTGCAAATGAAAATGTGATGGAGGCTTGGCTAACATTTTTGAATTAACATTGGATTAGTGTAATGAAAGTTATTACCTAGATCCAGTCTAATGTGCTTTGACTAAAGTTGGTTCGAGTTATTTAACATTTTGACGTCAGAAAACACATTCCTTCGATATTTTCTTTTCAGTCATGAATATAAGATTGTTTTTTCAACGGGACGGGGTTCTAGCTTTCTCGCAGTTAGCTCAAATAGAGCTTCCAGTTATGGCCTCATAAAAGACAAAAGCAAGTCAAGAGATCAAGAGAAAAGCTCTTAGGATTTTCAACGTGCAATAAAATAAAACATTCATAAATCTTTATAAAATTTTAGTTTATTTATGCAACTAGACTTCTATTACTAATACCATTATACAAGTGAGTTAGTCAGTTCAAGCGTGCATGCCCTCCTCCAGAAATGGAATTTGTTACGACAACGTCTCAAATGGCTCGCAAAGCCACTCCGGGCTAACTCGGTTAAGCTTAGCATTGCTTGGGGCAACGCACCGCACTAGACACTGGTGCCTAAACTTACAATATTTTCACAAAAATAACATTTTCTGAAAAAGATTCAAAGTGAAGCTTGCTTTGAGAATAATTTGGAAAATATAGAAATACTTATTGACATCAAAGCATATAACATTTAATTAAATGGCCTTAACTTTTTAGCATTCGGTATAAAAATCCTTTCATACGAAACCTCATTATTTAGCTTATGAAATACATTGGCATTTGTTAGCCTTCATTTAGCCTTCGGGTAAAAGGACACCACACTGGTCAGCCTTCCCAAACTTTAGGGATCCAGGACGTCGTCAAACTTTTAATAAACCCCACACAATTATCATGAGGTTCTTTGTGTAAAGTTGCAAATACTTTTTCGTATTGTTCAGCGTGAAAAGTTCCCGTAAACAAAACGAAACCGCGAAATGTTGAATGAAAGTACGATAACTCAAAGGGTGCTTACTTATTCACAAGAAATCAATCATTCACCACCTAATGTTTAAAAAGTTTATTGGTTCTATTCACCTAGTAAAAGTTTTAATAGCCACTTTAATAATTAATTGAAAGAGTCTAGAAAGTTGGGTATTTCTAAGAAATCATTACGTGTTAACAAACAACCAAATTGGTTGTGAAGATTTTCGGATTCAGCTGAACAATCTTTGGTTTTTGTTTGAGTTTTGTGTTTTATCGAGTTTCGATAGAGATGGGATTACTTGGCTAAAGCACTTTGTAGACTTTTGGTTAGACCAGTACCAGCGTGGGTTTACGTCTCCCTTAAACGAAGTATTCCCATGCGGTTTATTGTTCGATGACCATCGTAAGAGCCGGTCTGTCTTATCTGCGGCCTTTTATGATATAAGCTATTGTGTCAGCCTTTAATCTTTATTCATACACAATAAGCGCCTGAAATTGCAGACGAAAGACTTTTTTTTCACTAGTTAAAGACTGAAATGCCTATGTAATATTCACTGCATCATTGAGTACCTACTAATGCCATTATTCCTGACCTAAATAAAATGTACCATTTGGGAATTCCGTCGGTAAATATTTTCTGAACTCCAAAGATTTCTCCCAAACACGAGTACAGATTGGTGTCATTACAGTTCGCTGGAGACAGAAAATTAGCCTGTGAAAACTGTAGCAGACTTCGAAAACAAATTCGAGAACAGTTGAACGGGGAACAACCGTTAACATGGAAACTCGCAACATGTTTGCGACCGTTCCAAGTCGTTGTCAAGACGAGTATTCGAACGCACAAGTTATGAGCGTGCTCCGACGTTCAGAACACATCCGCGCCGTTGTCCGGGCCCGATTGTTTTCACTTACATTTCAATTAAAAGTTTCCTCCGATTCGGTTTTGTATCCATTGGGAATGTTTGCACAATGTTCTTGATATTTGTATTATACTAGCCGGTGCTTGCTACTTCGTCTGCGTAGGGTAATTATTCCGAGTAACTTCTGTTAGGGCATTATTAAAATTGGTTCAACGATAAAGGCATGTAAATTTACGGAGTCAGCAGTTACTTTTACATTTATAATTTCAATAGATATAGGTACCCCGATGAATTAACTGTGCATCTATCATCGCATTGTAACAATTTAAATACAGATTTAAGTGGACGTATTTCGCTGGAAAAGAAAGGGAAGGAAAAACTTAACACCTAAGATTATTATAATTTAACTAGCGGCCGCCCGCGACTTCGTACGCGTGGATCCCGTTTTACCCCCTTAGGGGTGGAGTTTCGTAAAATCCTTTCTTAGCGGATGCCTACGTCATAACATCTACCTGCATGCCAAATTATCAGCCCGATCCGTCCAGTGGTTTGGGCTGTGCGTTGATAGATCACTATGTCAGTCACCTTTGAGTTATACATATGTATTTAGAAGATAGAAGATAAATAATTCTCAAACTGTACTGTTGTTAATAGGCCGAGGAAGGGCTAGTGGTGCGCCTGCGCATGGAAGCAGTGCGGCTGCCGTGCGCGGGACAGGCGCTGCGCGCGCGCGACGGAGACTCGCTCGCCTCGCCGCTGCTCGCCTCGTGGGACGGGCCCGACAGCTCCGCCGTGGTTGGTGATGCTTATATACAGGGCTTAAAGCTTCATTTGAGGCAATATAGCAGAGGATCACCACGTCAGACGTAACTCTTTGATAGCTATAGCCTGGTCTGTGAGCACGTAGAATTTTGTCCAATGACCCCAAGTTACCCATCCTTATCGCTCGCTCGTAATTATATTGCTGTCGTGACTGTGCGACGAGCGCCCGCAGTAAGTGTGCGAGCGCGACAGCAACATAATTACGCGCGAGCGATAAGGATGGGTAGCTTGGGGTCATTGGACAAAATTCTACGTGCTCACAGGCTGGGCTTTAGATACGTGTTTACATTAGCAGAACTGCCTAATCTTGGTTGTGTTAAAATGTACTAAAGAAAGTGCCTAGGTTGTTCCTACGAAAAATGGTACCCACTGGTAATAATAACTAGTCCAAGGCTGCAAGCCCTGTGAAATTAGTAAGTGTGCAGGTGCTCAACAACTCGCGACGCGGCCAGAGCTTCGAGAGAAGAAGGCAGAAAACCGGCTTCATTTGGAACCCTTTTCAGTCTTTTCAACTTTGTTATTAAACCGTATGTGTATCAAAGAAGACTAGCTTTGATTGCAGGTCACTAACTTAATTACACTCAAAAATAAATATGCCGCATGCTGATTGTGTGATAACAATACAGGTCGGAGACGTGGAGACCACGACAGATAGTGCAGGAATGATGGAGATTGCTGGCGGGCGGCACATCCTCATCGAATTGCGCTCCGGGAACCGCTCCGAGCGCTGCGCCGGCGGCTTCCTGGCACACGCTTCGCAAATAGGTAAGCTTTATTCATCTCCTCCTTGCAGCCTCTACAGGGTACAAGAGAACACTCTTCTCTTCGAGGAGTGTGAATGAGGCAAAACAGAAAGCAACAAGCAAGAGCTATGACGAAGAAAGGAAGATCTATTTCAAGTTTTTCTTATTAGTAGAAGTAAAGTTCATGTTGGGAAGCCAACAACGCGCGGGGGACGCGCAACCTATTTTTATACAGTCCGCTATTTCATGTATTTATACTAATATTCGTTAGGACCCTAACAATGGTCCTTCGAGCCGGTTAGGTTGCTGTGCCAGCCTAATTTACATGAAATTATCAGAGTACGCGGTATTCGTGTGACGACGGTGGTGTCCCAAAGGCGAGTGTGTGACCCGAGCGCAGCCGATGATGACGCTTTCGGCCCGAGGTGACGTTAGTCATCGTACGCCGCCCGCACGTTTCCTCCCGCGCGTTGTTGGCTTCCCAACATTCATTTCATAGGTTTGCAATTCTGAATGTGGGTTAGTAGTAGTTTCGCACGAAATTCGTTCCCAGTTCCCACGAATCGACTCCTTCGCGAACTAGTAATCTCGATTACTAGTTCGCGAAGGAGTCGATTCGCACGCGATTTTAATACATCCGGGAAACATATTCGTGCGAAACTACTAACTAATAGGGGTTAGCCCCTGAATGTGTGTCTTGTACCTTTTCCTCCTTTTCTTTTTACTAGGAGTTTAGATAAAGTAAACGACAATATTTAAATCCTTTTCTTAACAATCTTACCTTAGAGCCTATCAGAAACGCGTCAGCAGCGTGGGCAGTCGTCAGCACCGGCAATTGGTGGAGGGGTGGTGGCGGGGCGCGGGGCGCGGCTGTCGCTCTGGCGGCGTTGGCGGCGCTGGCGGCGCTGTGCCTCGCGCTACACTCGGCGCATCGAACGCGCGCCTACCAGCGGGCTGCTGACAAGGAGTCTCTGACTGACAGCGACGGTGAGCTATCCCTATTGTAGTGTAGGTATACTGCAGTGATATTGACAGCACAGGCGGCGCTATGCCTCGCGCTATACTTGTCAGTCGTCACATACTAGCGTGCTGCTGACAAGGAGTCTTTGAGTGACAGTGACGGTGAGCACCCCTAATAAACACTGAAGTGGTGCTGGCAGCCCTGACGGCACTGTGCCTCGCGCTACACTCGGCGCACAGAACACGCGCCTACCAGCGAGCCGCCGACAAGGAGTCTTTGACTGACAGTGATGATGAGCACCCATACTTTGCACAGCAGCAGCACCAGCGGTCCTGGCAGTGCTGGTAGCACCGTGCCTATTAGCGTGCCGGCGACAAGGAAGAGACTCCTTGTCGACCGACAGTGGTTGGTGGTGAGCTCTCCTATACGCAGCGGTGGCCCTGGAGGCGTTGGAGGAACTGTGCCTCACGCTACATTAATTAAGCAGTTCAGTGTTTCAGTAATAGATACGATGAGATGAATCTACATTCTGACGACTTAGCACATTAATAAATATGCGCAAAATTAATGGCCTACACTTTTGTTATCTAAGCAAATCTATCTCCGAATCAGCATGAATTGAATATCGAACTTGAAATTCAAATGCCACTTGATTTATAGTCGCTACTGTAATATTCAACAATATCCGTCTACGGCGCTTGGAACGCCATTAATCTTGATTAATGAATGTCGTAGGTACACGACAGTGTAAACACGAACCATAATTGGGGCCGGCACACAAAGCCTTCCATGCTGACCTCTCATCTTATTTGCGATCCGAAAAAACCTCTAAATATGATGAAACCCCCAAAAATATCGGCTGGAAAAATGAAGGGCAAAATTGACGCAAAATAATAACACTGAGGGACGCCACTTTTGGTCTAACAAATTTTATCTTACAAATATTAAAGGGATTTTTCTGTGCGGTTATTTTTATTAGAAAAACATCCTACGACTAATATTTTTAGACTTTGAAATCAGATGGGTATCTACCTACCTCCACGCAAACTCAAAAATAGTTGAAAAAATATGATATTTTTTGCGGTTATCAAATAATTATCTATAAATAGGTAATCATGGTGCGGGGGCAGTTCCTTTTAGAAACCAAAAGCTTTGGAGATACAGATCCAAGAAGGAACGAGTCCTGCATCAAGTTCGAGATAGGATAATATCTAGCGGATACCATATTAGACAGGCAGAATTACTTTCGTATAATAAAATGCATTTACCCCTTGTGCAGTGTAGTAATTTTTTTTTTAATCTTTGGACAATTTCACACAGCGCCAGCTAGCCCCAAAGTAAGCAACTTAATGCTTGTGTTACGGGTGCTAGCTTAACGGATATACTACTTATATACTTTTTTTTTTAATTACATACATATTATACATAGTCACACCCAGACCCGTCACAGAAATTAAAATTCATCATTTCAATTTCTGCCCGGCCGGGAATCGAACCCGGGACCTCTCGGCATAGTAGTCCGTTCTGAACCACTACACCAAACGGCCGACAATAAAAATATGGTCGTATATGGTCGTCGTACGGCCGAAAATATGGTGTAGGCCAAATTCTCCATTTGCTTCTAATAAATTTGAGAGCGTCTTGGTCTTGCAGTGGTGATTAGGAGTCTTTCAAATTAGACCTCTTGAGCTGGATGCATGCCATTGATTAACCAGTAGTTAGAATACCAATCTGTTTGCCCCTGGTTATTATTTAAGACGTGTGGTTCCGGCAGAATAAACGATCATCGAAAATGATGATTATGCTGATGCTGCTGTTGATAATGATGATTATGTTGTCAATGATAATGATGTAGATGTAGAAGATAATGATAATGACGGTGATGATGATGCTGATGAAAATGTTTATCTTCCCTCTAGCGTGCTCGGCATCGCTGGAGCTGGCTGGCGGCGCAGCGGGCTCGCGAAGCACACTTCTATCGGAGGTGGTGGGTGGCACTTCGCTGCGGCGGCTGTTGCCTTCACGCGGAAGACACACGCGACTCCGTGACGCAGACCGCGCCTCCGAACATAACGACCAAAGGTGAGGGGACTGTATCTTATAATGATTTAGAGAGGTCATGCAGAGTAGCTACTCAGCATGTTCAACGTCGTGAGGCAGAAGGCTCGCGCAGTGCGCTTCTAGCGAATGTGGTGGGCGGCGCTTTCATACGCGGCTCTGAGATGTAAACCGTGCCTCCAAGCATAACGACCAGAGGTGAGTTCTTGGAGGAGCTACTCAGCGTGCTTGGCGTCGCTAGAGCGCCACTAACCGCACCTTAGAGCAAAATGACCAGAGCCGTAAAGGCAGTGTAGTTTCATCCTCTTTGATTTAGAAAGGCCACGCAGAGTTGTTTCAGCTGAGTAGAATAGGACCACCCAGAGTTGGCTTTGGTAAAATGAAAATAATCGAGCTCCTGACTATTTGACCTGATAACAATGATGAGAGTACCACTGTCATTAATAACGAAGATATCAAAATCCATATTTATAATGCATTCTGATAACATTGTGTCAAACCAGATTTTACAATAATGTTTTTTTTATGCTTAACAAAGGCATTTATTTGACCACAATCGCACCTGATTGGTTAACACACCTCTAACAGCCACATTATTATTTTTGCATTAACGTGCAGAATGATATTCAGAAATATGCAATAAAACATTTATTTTCCTACAATCACTATTTAAATGGCAGAATATTTCGATTGTGGTGACAAAAACAGCTCAGCGGAAACCACAAATACTTAATTGAAATATGTAACAGCGTGATTGCTCGTTAATTAAAATATCAATGAGTGCTTCCGTTGCCCTCACTCACACCATCGTCAATGCGAGGCTTGACACACGTCCTTTCAAATCAACAAGGGCGGTATGTTTTTAATGAAGCCTGCGAGCTACGAAAACAGGCAATTATACAGGCAACTCATTAATCGCGACTCAGAGCCATTGTGCGGGCACGCGCAGAGCGCTTCGAGTGCTTTGTTTTAGGGTGATTGGATAAAAAGTGTACAGGTGGGGACAAATTCATTGTTATAACATCGACGACATGAAGTGAAATTAATATACGGAAATCCTAGGAATTAAAAGCTGGGAGGATTAATCCGCTTTGTTTCCATTTGCCGATGGCAACGAGACAAAGGAAAATCGTTATTTCACAATGCTAATGAGACGGCTTGTACGCAATTATAACATCAAAAGAGTTTTAATCTGGTTATGGTCTTTGTTGTATTACTAAAGTTGAATGATGTGTCCTATTTCTTTATGCTTCATCATTTTGCAAGGAAATCAGAACCTCTAGTCTGGAAGTCTCATGCCCGTTTTCTCCATCAATTCCTAATTTTTAAGTGATCTCTATGGTAACACTTAACAGGAATTTTGTTTCACTTAAATATTAGGGATGGGGTGAAAACGTGCATCGCTCTATCTTTAAGACTACGAGACTTTGTGGTGACATCTAGACGTACACATAATTGGTTACAAGACAACTCCCCACTCGATGTGACTCAAGAAACTCATTAATTTGTCATTTAAACAGGGAAGAAGACGACGAACAAGGCACGGATGTAGACGCTGAAGGCGCTGACAACGTCAGCGTGGCCAGCGCTGCCAGTCAGGCCACTATTACACCGGAGACTGTGTCAGCCAGCAGCGCGCCAGTAGAGCGAGCGCGCGTGCCGCCTTCGCCGCTACGTCGGTCACACACCGTGTCTGTAGCCAGTGGAGCGCCGCAAGTGAGTGTTGTTTTATGACTGTCATTCATACGTCTCCGTTGACNCCGCTACCAACCGTGCGATGTGGAAGTCATTGGGGGAGGCCTATGTTCAGCAGTGGACGTCCTGTGGCTGAAATGATGATGATGATGATGATGATTCATACGTCAGCGTGGCCAGCGCGGCGAGTGAGTGTTGTTTTATGACTGTCATTCATAAGTCAGCTTGGTGAGCCAGGCCACTATTACACCGGAGACTGTATCAGCCAGCAGCGCGCCAGTAGAGTGAGCTCGCGTGCCGCCTTCGCCGCTACGTCGGTCACACACCGTGTCTGTAGCCAGTGGAGCGCCGCAAGTGAGTGTTGCTATTATATGCCTCACCTTTGTCATGTATCAAGCGTCAGCGTGGCCAGCCAAGCCACCGTCACTCCAGAGACTATAATCAGCCAGCAGCGCTCCAGCACAGAATAAGTAATAGTACAGGTACAGATAGACTAAGAGCTAGTGAACGCCAGACCTACGTTATTTTATAAAGGCTGAAAGTTTGTCAGCGCATGCTCCCAACATAGCTACATTTTCATGAACTTTAAGGCGTCTGGCTAAGGACTGCCACCATGGTAGGTGTCTGTCAATTAATGACGTCATTTCTAATAACATTTTGAAGGAAATATCAAAAAATCAGCCTTTATACTTTGACGTAATTAAGTTGGTATTTTACACACCTTTAGTACCGTCTGTCTGCCAAAGCCACCATGACCCAAACTTCATGTTTGGCCATGGTTCTTAGCTATGTTGGGAGCATGCGCTGACAAACTTTCAGCCTTTATAAAATAACGTAGGTCTGGCGTTCAGTAGCTCTTAGTCTAAGAAGGATTACTCCGCAAGACGATTTAAATAAATGCGAGTCTTGCTACGACGCGATACAGTGGAATTCAGCTCGCACAGCACTACGTACCTACAATTTTATTCACCTACAAGTTTTGTCTCTTTCTATCGCGTGCCTCTGAACTCTTCTTACGCTGTTAGGGTTGCTTTCTAGTGAAAAAATAAATAATCTACCTACATGGCCAACATACCTTTCAGCATCTTTGGGAAGCGAAAAAAAGATAAATCCGGTAGATTTCTTTTCGAATTTAAACGCCCGAACGCCGCACAATAATATTTCTTTCTCTTTATGTCCATTTTTAAATAATACTTCGATCATAGAATTAGGTAGGTACTACAACGCACGCCAGCGTCCTGACGGGCGCGCGCGTGACACTCGACTGATATAATACCCGCCGGCGGGGCGCTTCGCTGTAGGTAATTATCGGATGTGCCGCGCGGAGTGAGCCAGGCCTGGCTCCAGTCGAGAAAGAAAGTCTGCCTCCTGGCATATTTCATCTTTCAAACTTCAGCGTGGCTAGGCCACCGTCACGCACGTGCGAGATCGTATCAAAGTCGCGCAAGTAACGTTCTTGAAAACATTTTTGCAGAAGTCAATTCAATTTGCGACAAGAAAACCCAACCATTACATTTCTCAAAGGAAATCTGCTATCTTGTGACATTTTAATTCCATTTTTCAGCAGACCAAGTCCACCTTTGAGATACTCGTTAAAAAGAAGCTTTCATTTTTAAGTGCATTTTCATAACATAGCAATGAAAACAAAAAGAAACCTTCATAACCTACAGTGTTTAGTTTAACGCTCTCTTACACAATATAGTTGTTTGAGCCCGTTTTGATAACTTTACGGCCCTCGGTAGCTGTCGTCGCGTTGTGTTGTAACCGCGCGGGGCTGCGGAAATTGTACCGCGCTGCACTTTAGTCGGATGTACCGTACGTCGTAACTCCTTTGTTACTTTGTTTGCTGACATCCGGAATTTTACGCGCCATTTCTCTGTCACGAATGCACTGAGTTTATAAGTGTAGTTTTTCTTCACTTATAAACTTTTAGAGGTATCTTTATAGGTATTTAGACTTAAGTAAATCTTATCAATTGGAATTTAAAATCGCACATATAAATATTTTACATGCTGCTCACTGGTTGCGTGCGCAAGAATGACATTACTCAAGTGCGAGTCGCTTGCTCACACACATAAAAATATGTAACCCTAATGTACTTTTATTTGATTTATTAAATAGCCGAAAAACCTCTAACGGATAATATGGTAATATTTACCAACACACCCTGTAAAAATGTTAACATCTGCCCACTAGGTTTCATGAAATATTCTGCTGACAAACAGAAAGACGCNCAAGACGCTTTTTTTGACACTGACGCCCGTATTCTCAAACATTACTATGAGGTCTCAGTGCGCACAGGGTGACACACGAACCAATCATAGAGATCTATTTACGCTGTGCGTTCGATTTGCTGCTTCACTGCAAGCATCGTTTGTTAATACCGCCGCCCGCTGAAAACCAGCGTCGGGGCACGTGGCTCGATTAATGCTGAGCGGGCGCCTTTTTGGCACAAAAATATGCGTGTATAGTATAGTTTTAAGTCCCTTTGTTCTGTTTTTTATTTTTTTCCTTTTTTGTGTCAAATAAAGTTTTTCTTTATTTATTATAATTTCATCTTATCTTAATACAGGCGTGCGTACGGATTCCCTAAAAATGTTCATTACCTTCGTAGGTCACGCCACCATCTCAATCCACGACCAACGAGTCGGTGGCCGTGGACGTGAGCACGAGCGTGACGAGCGTGACAAGCGTTACAAGCGTGAGTGAGAGGGACGACTGCAGCGAGAAGGACAAGGACAGCGCGTGGGAGAAGGACAGGAGCGCAAGCAGAGCTTCGTCTTCCACGTCCGCTGCTACGCTTACCAACGTGAGTGGTAGTGTGTAGAGACTTGTATTTACTTCTTATATTTTGTGGTTGTACCAATAGGGTAGCTTACTTTGGTGCCAGAATTTACGAGTTGTCATAGGCATATTATCGATGATCGGGCTGATTTTGAGTGACGTGCTTTCAATAACTAAGATTTGGTTTTCTTAACACTTTAATCAACACTCGTAGCCATTACTATCATTATTCTAAATCTGTCGAACTGTCAACGTGTCCCCATCTCTAACCTCCCATCAAGTCCCATCCCATTACTGAGGTCCCAGTAAATGTCTCCAGATGATCTTGAAGCTCTACCCTTCTCACCACAGCCCTTATTTAGTTAGATTGATAGGTGAGGCTCGAGCACTAGACATTTATCTATGAGACTCTACACTAGACAGTCAGTACTCATTAGGGAATTAGTTTCTAACTTGATCTTATATTATTGATGCTGGTATCAGTGCCTACAACCACTACGTCCCGTTCATTCTGGTACACTGCAGTGCAGCAGTGTAACTCGTATATTGGAACATCTATAAGTGTTATTAATGTGACTTTTTGTGATAACCCTATTCCATGGTTGGTATGGTACTCCAACACCTATAAGTGCCAGCGCCGATTTGTTTAATTTAATCCTGTTTATCCAGGGCTGGTACTCTCCTGCGCTAAGCGGCGTGGCGTCCGCTCGCATCCGGGACAACCCGAAGCACACCAAGGAGACCTGCAACCGGCGCCTGCTGCGCTCCGACCTCAGCCTCGCCAGCCACCCCGAGATGGAGATCGACTACTACGACTATGAGGTCAATAACGCTGGTAAGGGTCAGCCGTAGTCTAGACAGGTCTCGGCGGCGCTGACTGCAAGCAGTGAGTATGTAGCATCACACTAGTCAAGCACACTAGGAGAGCTGCGACCAGCGGCTGCTGCTCCCACCACAGCGTCTAAAGTCTATGACTATGGACTATGTCGATAAGGCTGGTAAGGCTCAGCCGTAGTCTAGACAGGTCTCGGCGGGCGCGGCAGTGAGTATGTAGCATCACAGTCAAGCACACTAGGAGAGCTGCGACCAGCGGCTGCTGCTCCCACCACAGCCTCTGAGATCTATGACTATGGACTATGGGACTATGAGGGAGGTCAATAACGCTGGTAAGGGTCAGCCGTAGTCTAGACAGGTCTCGGCGGCGCTGACTGCAAGCAGTGAGTATGTAGCATCACACTAGTCAAGCACACTAGGAGAGCTGCGACTAGCGGCTGCTGCTCCCACCACAGCGTCTAAAGTCTATGACTATGGACTATGTCGATAAAGCTGGTAAGGGTCAGCCGTAGTCTAGACAGGTCTCGGCGGCGCTGACTGCAAGCAGTGAGTATGTAGCATCACAGTCAAGCACACTGGGAAAGCTGCAACCGGCGGCTGCTGCTCCCACCTCAGCCTCTGAGATCTATGACTATGGACTATGGGACTATGAGGGAGGTCAATAACGCTGGTACGGCTCAGCCGTAGTCTAGACAGGTCTCGGCGGGCGCGGCAGTTAAGCACACTAGGAGAGCTGCGACCAGCGGCTGATGCCGTTAGAAGGTAGGTATGTACTCGTAGCTTTAAAGTTTCGTATAGAGGATGACCATAGAACTCATTATGCAGCCTTGGGAGCGATTGAGATAAAAGTATATTATTATGTGATAGCTCGATTTATTTAGTTTTACTATGATTGTAACATTTTTTTTATTTTATCTTAGCAAAATTGTTGTCCTAATCTTAAGCCCTTTCAATTGATTTGTCACCCCATTTATTTTTAATACTCTTTTAAGTCATTAACTCTTTGGGAATTAGTCCCTAAAGAAAATCTTTCAAGTCTAACAACTGCATCGCAAGAATTTTTATGACAGACAGACAATTATTTAATGAGTGAGTTTCATAACGGTTATTTTCTAACTTCGCTTTCCAAATATCGAGATCGGTCTTGGACGAATTCGTCCAAGAAATCTGTATAAGATCAAGACTTATCTAGATATAACAGTTACTATCCTCCAATTTCACTTATTTACAAATACTGAGGGCACTTCTTCGAAATCGCATTCTTCGGCTGATCCATATGGACAAATTTCAAATTCAATTTTAGGTTTGTAACATAGACTCATATGAAAATAGGTACACCCAATAACATTTATTTGGATAAGGGACTCGTTTTTGTAAAGTAGTTTTCAAGATATCGACTTTCAAAAATTTTGTGCCCATATGAATCAGAAATAATCAGAATTTGTTACATATTAATCAAAAATAGAAATACACTTTATGATATTTATGTACAATTGGCTCTAAATTAAGAAAATAATCATATTATAACAAAATCAATGATCTGTTGTTATGAAAAAATGCAACGATTCCACAATAATTCGGGAAAAACCATTTTTTTGAAACTTTAGTACACATCCATAATATTTTGTCATCATCATAATAATTTCAACTGAATATAAACCTCTCCCAATGATTTCCATAATGACCGGTTGGTAGCGGCCTGCATCCTGCGCCTGTGGGAGGACTTTCTACACTGAGCTTTCCGGCACGTAGCTTCCACTCTAGAAACGTGCTATCCCATCGGCCATCATTTCTATATACTATGTGTCCTGCCCATTATCACTTCAGCTTGCTAAAACATCGGGCTATGCCACCATGCGACTTTAGATCGGTTACGTATCTCCTCATTACAGATTCGATTGCATAAAAAAAAANAATATTCTGCTGACAAACAGAAAGACGCTTTTTTAACACTGACGCGCGTATTCACAAACATTACTATGAGGTCTCAGTGCGCACAGGGTGACACACGAACCAATCATAGAGATCTATTTACGCTGTGCGTTCGATTTGCTGCTTCACTGCAAGCATCGTTTGTTAATACCGCCGCCCGCTGAAAACCAGCGTCAGGGCACGTGGCTCGATTAATGCTGAGCGGGCGCCTTTTTGGCACAAAAATATGCGTGTATAGAATAGTTTTAAGTCCCTTTGTTCTGTTTTTTATTTTTTTCCTTTTTTGTTTTTCTCATCTTATCTTAATACAGGCGTGCGTGCGGATTCCCTATAAATGTTCATTACCTTCGTAGGTCACGCCACCATCTCAATCCACGACCAACGAGTCGGTGGCCGTGGACGTGAGCACGAGCGTGACGAGCGTGACAAGCGTTACGAGCGTGAGTGAGAGGGACGACTGCAGCGAGAAGGACAAGGACAGCGCGTGGGAGAAGGACCGCAGCGCGAGCCGAGCTTCGTCTTCAACGTCTGCTGCTACGCTTACTAACGTGAGTGGTAGTGTTTAAGAAACCTTCATTTTTTACCTTATTACTTCTATTTCATAGTTGTAACACGATAGCTTACCCTAGTGTCAGAATTTGTAAACTTTCATAGGCGCCTGGTGATGTGCCTCAATCAGATACGAGTAGATAGATTTCAGAACAAGCATGTTTTCCCGACATTTTTGATAAACCTCCTTAGGTGGTATGCTAAATTTCAAGGATTGGCAGCGTATCCTCATCACCTACCTTACCTATGGCGTGGCTGTCACTCACCTGCACTTATCCTCCCTGCCACACAGTACTCTTAATAAATGAAATTAATAACTTTATAGTCAATAGGAAATTAGTTTCCGTCCTTAGCTTGTATTCTGGATGCCGGGAGCAGTTCCTACAATCCTGCCTTCCCGGACGTCCAAGAACGACTAATAGTGCCTCGTTAAATGACTAAACTTGCGTACTATTATCCAGGGCTGGTACTCTCCTGCGCTAAGCGGCGTGGCGTCCGCTCGCATCCGGGACAACCCGAAGCACACCAAGGAGAGCTGCAACCGGCGCCTGCTGCGCTCCGACCTCAGCCTCGCCAGCCACCCCGAGATGGAGATCGACTACTACGACTATGAGGTCAATAACGCTGGTAAGGGTCAGCCGTAGTCTAGACAGGTGGTGGTCTGACCTGAGCGGTGATGGCTGCTAATCCACGTGGGGAGGTATGTAATGTAGTGTCAAAGATTTGTATAGAGGATGACCATTAGGGTGGTCCTTATTTTTCGACTTTTGAATTCTCCCCGGGGCACTTTCTCATTCGATTATATACCTCTAAATATGAAATTAGCTTTTTTTGTTTTTTTTTTGGTTAAGATTTAGAGGTCGCTACCAGCTGTCAAAATATTTTCAAAAGCTTTGAGGATCTTAAATCATGGTTTCATAAATGTTTTATTTAAGTGTTTATATCACTTTTTAGGTGCAAATGAACATCGCATAGATAGAATAGACAATCACTTCTTGTCCCCTTCTCCCCTCAACCCCTCTTCTGTACCGACCATGGTACCGACGCGTCGAGATACTAACAAGTAAACACTTATATCTTAAAAATAATNAACGCGGGTGGTACACCGATACTGAAGGTCCTTCAGAGGCTCTTAAACTCCGTTTTACTCGAGGGAATAACGCCAGAGGCATGGAACAGAAGCGTGGTGGTGCTTTTCTTCAAGAAAGGAGATAACACCTTACTGAAGAATTACAGACCCATCTCGCTTCTGAGCCATGTTTACAAGCTGTTTTCGAGAGTCATCAGAACCTACGTGCGAGACGATTCGTGATGACTCATCACGAATCGTCTCGCACGTAGGTTCGATGACTTCCAGCCTCCCGAACAAGCCGGTTTCCGGAAAGGTTATAGTACCATAGACCACATCCATACGCTGCGGCAGGTTATACAGAAGACTGAGGAGTATAACTTGCCACTATGCTTGGCGTTCGTGGACTATGAGAAGGCCTTTGATTCGATTGAGACGTGGGCAGTGCTGCAGTCTCTCCAGCGGTGCCGTATCGACTATCGGTACATCGAGGTACTAAAGTGCTTGTACAAAAACGCCACCATGTCGGTCCGAGTACAGGAGCAAAGCACGAGGGCGATTCCTCTACAGCGAGGCGTAAGACAGGGAGATGTTATATCTCCGAAACTCTTCACCGCGGCATTGGAAGACGCTTTCAAACTCCTGGAATGGAAAGGATACGGCATAAACGTTAACGGCGAGTACATCACTCACCTTCGGTTTGCCGACGATATCGTGGTCATGGCAGAATCGCTGGAGGACCTCGGCACCATGCTCGAAGACCTTAATCGAGTTTCCCAACAGGTAGGCCTTCGGATGAACATGGACAAAACGAAGCTTATGTCGAACGTCCATGTTGCGCCCTACCCGGTGTCGGTTGGGAGCTCGATTCTTGAGATTGTTGACAAGTATGTCTACCTCGGACAAACGATCCAGCTAGGTAGGTCCAATTTCGAGAAGGAGGTCAATCGTCGAATCCAACTCGGCTGGGCAGCGTTCGGGAAACTACGCAACATCTTTTCGTCCAAAATACCCCAGTGCCTGAAGACGAAAGTCTACAACCAATGTGTGTTACCTGTGATGACTTATGGCTCGGAAACGTGGCCCCTCACTATAGGCCTTATACAGAAGCTCAAAGTTGCACAGCGTGCTATGGAGAGGGCTATGCTCGGTGTTTCTTTACGAGATCGAATCAGAAATGAGGAGATTCAACTGCAATGTCTGCTCATGAACGCTTCAAACTCGGTACTTCTTTCCCAATTCCATAAAATTCAAAACTTAGAAAGTGACAAAAAACTTTAAAATAGGTAGTTGAAACAGACTACAGCTAATTTTCATAGTGGACTGTACCATACGATAAACATGTCAGTCAATTTGACAACCTTTGTCGGAAACATTATTCAATGAAAATATTGTCCGAACCCTTAGTATTTCTCTTCGACAAATACATTAACACATCGTGAACCACTTTTCTTTCACGACTATAAAAATATTTTAGCAATTTAATTCACAAAATCAATTGCACACATTTAAAATAAACTTTGTTTACACTTTGACAACAATAGACTGACATGCAAGGTGACATGTCAATGAAGTTTTCAGTTACTGTTGCCATTATAAGAAATTAGTACCATTAGTTTTCCGCAACATGGCGAGGGTTTTTATGTTCCTGGTCAGGCTATAACATTGCACTGATGGGACAGAAAAATAAGCAAAACCTTCTTCGTTAGCAAACGTCACATTTATTTAAATGTTAGCAGCACTGTTTCTTGCACTGGTATGTTGGCAGGTTTGACTCTTACAGTACCTAGTGCAAGCGAAAACCGACACTAAGGTGACGAACCTTTTCATTCCGCGACTGTACCTAACGTTTTGCTTTATAACGTAAAACTGTTGCTATCTTTATCTTTAACCCTTTTATCTGATTTGTCACCCAATTTATTGAATATTCTTTTAAGTCCTTAGTTCTCTGACGATTAGCCTCTAAAGATCATTCAATACTAATAAAAAATGGGTTATTTTATAATATCGCTTTCCAACAGATCGAGATCGGTATAAGGTCAATGACATAGCAAATACTTTCCTCCAGTCTCACTGTACCCATATCCTGATCTCAGGGTTAATTTAGAAGTTCTTTGGAACTCTTGATTCATCGGATATCTTTCAGTTGGGTAAATGCCGTTATTCCAATGCAATAAAAGATTGTCCTGCGCAGGCTCCGTTCCCGGGTCGTATCTGGGGATGGATCCGGCGTTCCTGGTCTGGATACCGCCCCTTGAGGAGGGCGACATCATCAAGGAGATCGACGACACCAAAGGTCCTATTTACGAGGTAAGGACACTTGTGACTTTTATATTAACTTGTTTAGTTTCATCAAATTCCGTTCAGCATGTTTTCTTACAAAAAGTTAAAGTTTCTTTTCTTTTATCTTTGTTCTCACCAATTTATTGAATATGTTAAAGAGTTTGCCTTCAGGATAATTCATAAAAATTAAAAGTGACGCAAAGAAGCCGAAAATTTTGCACAATAAATTGTTGACTACTTGTACAGCAGTAAAGCCCGGTCCGTGAGCACGTAGAATTTTGTCCAATGACCGCTAGCTACCCATCCTTATGGCTCGCGCGTAGCTATCGCGCTCGCACACTCACGGTCGCGACAGCAATATAATTACGCGTGAGCGATAAGGATGGGTAGCTAGGGGTCATTGGCCAAAATTCGACGTGCTCACGGACCGGGCTTTAGTAGTAGAAATTGCGATTGGATAATTGAAATTAATAATTTTCCCACAGGAAATCCTGCCCAAAGAACTCCGACCCGACCCCGGCAGCAACACCGAGTCTCCGGAAGAGAGACCATCATCTAGTACTCTCAAGAGGAACCCTGAACTCCGCGCCGCCTCCAGCGAATCTGTGAGGCGCCGGGACCGCGGCCTCATACCGCCTCTCAACTTCAGCGCCACCGACCTCCAAGCCTCCCCCAAGATGAACAAGCGAAACAAAAAGAAAAAAGACGACCCCCCCATCCCCATGAAAGAACTCACCCTCAACAGATCACCCGTCAAAGTCCACAGAAAAGAAAAACCCGACCACGACTCGTCGACCTTAAAAAGAGTCAACGACACCGCCCGAGAAACCAACGCCGACACCCTCAAGAGAACAGACTTCAACGACCTGAAATTCGCTGATGAAACGTCAGATTCGTCTAACGAAATCAAATTTGCTGACGACTCACCGGATAGTAATAGATTAGTCGACAAATACGATGCTAGAGCGTAAACCGATATCGATCGCGTAAAGACTTAATAAATTCAAATCGAAATTCTTATTTTATCCATTGCCAAAACGTTAGGTATCCCAAAGATCACCCACTAGTCGAATGTAAGGACCAATCTGTGAATAAACCGTATTTACCTATCTTTCATATCATCAAATCATATAAAGTAGCACGATATATATTTTTAAGAGACTTTTCATCTATCACCTTCACCCAAAGGTTATTAGCGTCACATCTAGGGTAAAGTGGTAGAGTTTTATAATCAAATCTTTCTCAAGATGGTAGGAATGTAGGTACGCTCATAGTGTCTGTTGATTCTTCGTATACATACATTTTTGATTCGCAAAATTCATTCGGTATTTTCATTGTAGAAAAGGGGCAGAAGATTTTTAATGTCNTTAATGTGAAGAAAGTTGAGTATTAACTACAAATATGTACGAGTACTTAAACATCAGTGATCAATAATGTGATATCGTGCCTGTACTTTAGATCTGAGTCATCATAGCAAATCATCTACAAAGTTCTCGTCTTCGAAAAATTGTCTCTTAATATTATACAATCATACGCCCCTATAACTCCGAAAATATATTAGAGTCATTCATGTATATTTTTAACGTGTGGATAATTTTCACTCGGCTTTTGAGGCTTTATTAATGTTGAGAAAATGTTTCTCTAAACCGTTTTTTTAATCTAGCTATATTTCAAGCAAAGTGTATGATCATAAAATTGCTCGTTACTGTTTTCACGTCAGCAATGTATTTATGTGAGCTTATTGCTTCTCATTTTCATCGTGTAATATTTTAAACATTAACTGTATCATACGTTTATTTGGTAAATTATTTATTTAAATGTATTTTAGAAGACTGACGATTTCGGGCAGTGCAATACTTCATTGTGTTGGTAAAACGCAAAATAATAATACAGTATTGAAGTATTTTGGCAATAAAATCATTCCTTTTTTGATCTAGTCAATGTGTCAAAGATAAATTATGTATTTTATTTATATTATTTTAACAATTTATTTATTAAGTTCTCAAATATTGCATAATTACTTTGTGAGAATATAGGAGTAAGTATTATATCGAGTTAATTTTTTAACATTATTATAAACCTATATTTAATAACCTTTAGCATTAAGTGAAATGTTGTTTTAAATGTTTAGTTTGAAAACGCCAATAAAATGTTTTTATTTTGTATTTGAAAGTGTTGTTTCATTGAGAGTGGGCTTGGCTGGGCTTCCAAGAACACGGTGGAATGTAGCGCAGGTAGCTTAACTCTCGACCGATAGCCAAATGCCAATACAGAGCAATCCATTTATTTATTGGCTCCGAACGGATCGCTTCTGAAGTAGAGATGGGCAATGGGCATATTGGCCATATTTTAAAGATACGACAAAAAATATACCAAACGTATTTTAATTAGCTAGTTGTTTTTTTTATTTCACTGATAACTTTATTATCATCGTGTTTGACATGATGTTATTATCATTTTATTCTACATAACTTAAGTCGTAATCTGATAATTAATCTTAAACAAGGTGTACTTAAATACCCATTTAAAATCAAAATCAAATATTAATATTTTCGTAACATGCACAAAAACTGGCAACTCCTTTCACCTTTAAATAATTATATTGTCTATGACCAAAAAAACATTACTGTCACATTGACACTGGACGGTAAGAAGCAAAAATTGATTTCTCTTAATACCCGCATACATTACGATATTAGTATTACGCGAAGCGAGTATCAGTTGGCCTTCGAAAGGCTCGGACAATAAAAAGGGTATTCCTCTTTGCCGTGATACCATGAGAGTGACGCAGCCTCGAATACTAAGTGTGCCCTCGGCTGGGAACAGTGATAAAGTGAAAAATACCCAGTGCCCCGGTATCCGGGCGGACGATATATCGCGCGACAGCTCCAGGCATGCAAGTTAATTGGTCTGCATGAAGTCTTGACTCAATATTAAATTCCTGCGGGATAACAGCCCGGCAATCCGGCGCGGAGGGAATCGTTTATCGGAAACATGTAGGTAAGTTATTGGAGAACCTGCCGGACGGCTAAATAGGTTTACGGGGTAGCCTGGGTTTTAGTAGACGATATTTGGAATTTATTTCACTAGTTTGAAAGGGGAAACAGATTGAATAGGTACTCAATACAATAATTTTATTGCATTCATGGGTTATAAAATAATTATCATAATACAGCTATATGCCAAGCGTGGAGATTATGGCAAAACCCTCCACTATAGTGGAGGAGGCTCATAGTCCAGCAGTGGACTGTAAAGGGCTGTTGATGATGATGATGACAGCTATATATACGGGTTGTGAATACATTACAGTTATTATCCTGCTTTCGCCTCCGAGATTTATTTTACCATGTAGTACCCCTGTACGACAAGCCAATCCGCACACAATATTCAGCGCAGTAGTAGTAAAAAACAAAAGAGCGGGCAACCCCACCCCTACCACGCTGTGGGCTCGGTGTCCGAGCGGTCTCATTCCTTTGTGCGCACGCGCAACGACCGCACGCAGTATAAGAAANAAAATAAGACAATTACTTACGACTTAACGAAAACACTCTTTTAACAACCCAGACAAAAGCTTTCGTACTTTCGTAAAAAATACATCTTTCAAGTGTACTTAATCCAGACGTTTCCAATCCACTATCCAAAGCGCATCAGATGCACCAAATGACAAAGTTTAAATCTCACGCGATCTTAGGCCGGGAGCTGACCCTCAGAACGAGGCAATTATAATCTAGGTGAGACATAAATAAAACATATTAATTTGTTTGTTAGAGCATTAGATTATGCGAAAAATTATGGATATACATACTTTAGAACCCTGCCAATTTGATAACGCAAAATAATGATGCTCATAGTTTTCATTACTTCAACATATTGTCTGAAATCGAGAGAAAATTAACGACCACATAGAATGTAATTTGTATCCAGCGTTTTAGAAAATGCCTAACAGGTTTGTAGTTTAAAAGTAATGACTGATGCTGCATTATTAGAGCGTAAACTGTAAGCTTTTCGAAGCCTCGCCTTTGTTGTAACGTCATCGGCTCCCCGACTACATTCAGATGAGAAACTGCAAACTCGTTTTGTTTATCGCCGACAGTGATGGATCGCTGTAATGGTCGCCTAATGGCGTAATGTACAAGTTGTCGGTAACGCAGCCACTAACTTCTGATGCGAACGTCGTTCAGACGTGTTAAAATATCCGAGAACATAAAATTGCGTTAACAAAGTATCCGATGTTGGTGGCTTGTTGGTAACCAGCTGAACTATAATGGCGGAGCTCACGTCAATGGATGCAGTTTTATTTTGTTTTAAACTAAGCTGAGTTCAACCGCTCATATTACTCATAGTATCTCTTTCATCTTGCAATAATTATAAAGTAACAAACTCCGTTCCCTTTACGTTTATTACCCAAAAGAAAAAGATTTAGGTCCATCCATCCTACTAATTCCTACTGATATTATAAATGCGAAAGTTCACTTTCACGCAAAAACTACTGACCGCATTTTGATAAAACTTTACAGTATCATTGTTGATTATCACGATGATTATCATTTTATTTCACGCGGGCGAAGCCGTGGGAAAAAGCTAGTATTGCAAAAAAATGTGCCTATATGTACTACGAGTATGATGTGTGGTCAACTCTACGTAAAGGCGCTAGTCATCCTACATGGCGTTTGATCTGACCTTTGACCGCCTACAGCTAGTTGCCCGATTGTTCCACAGACGCGGAAAGTCGTCCATCATCACAGCCATTTTCATATATCTTTATTGCGATTGCTGTCTGTCTCTATTCCACGATCAATTTGGTAAAGTGAGAACTCTAATACTTACGTTTGAGGTCGCGGGTTCGATCCAGCAATACATAAACGTTGGTCTAGTACATAAATCTCTTTCTCTAATCTAGGTGATTTAGTAAATGTTTCTTTCTTGCTATACACAGTGGTTGTTACGTGCACGATACATTGTTGCACCATGCCAGGTATCGCAACGGCTCTTTTTCGCGATTTCTTTTAGGTCATAAACAGCATAAACTAAATTCAGTTAGTAGGTACCTATCACTGGCTTGAGGCCACTACAATAGATAGCTTACAGGCAATATGAAAGCCATTACCACAAAATAACTTAACCCAGATCTTATAATACAAATCTCGTAGTTTTAAAACGAAATACCAGCTCCAAATAGACTGGGAACTATGCAAACAAATTAGCGGGAATACCAGGCGAGCGGCTACATTCCAGCTTATCTTCCAAGAACACCCACTCCCAAATGTTAATACTCCGTTAATTTATTTAAACTGTCAAAGCGACCCAGAAAGTTACTATTATCCCATCAAATAGAAGCACAATCCGTGTAATTTAGCCGGAACGAAGTTTGGTCTAGACCAGCTTGGCTCGCTGGGGACGGCCTAGTAATTAGCCGGCGAAATTACCTTCCGCTCTGGATTTTGAATAAAATATCGTGGCGAAGATAGCCACGAAGCGGGTCAAACGGGTAATAACCATTTAGAGTCTAAACAGGTAGAGATAGAGCGCAGTTTTGAGTAAAGTGCCAGCACATTAACGAGATTGGGTGGTTATTACGCTGGCTGTTTGGGCAGCAAAGAAAATAATGAATTGTTATCTTTGCGGACAGTTGACAAATGCTTGATTTAGAGCTCTTTTGGGTCAGCAAATTGTTCAAATTTACTTCGTGAGTAAATAGGAATTAAAGCATTATAAAATTACAACGAAAGTCAATTAAGTAGGTAAAGTTAATTACTACGTTTACGTTTCGTTATTTTAATTTACGTAGAATGGAAATGTAAATTGTTCCTCTTGATCGATCACTGAGTAATTAGGTAACATACCATTTTAGTTGCCAAGTGCCTTGTGTAGTTAAAACTTAACACAAAAAATAAACCGGCAAGACTTAAAGCAAAACGATTTACTAGCTGAAATCAGTCCATGATAGTCAAGTAATGATTTTGCAAAAAAAAAACGCCAAAGTACCAAGCAATCCATACTTGAGTATTAACTCAGATCCGTTACACGCGCCATGGACTCCGACTCCAACTTGAGAAGAGCGAGACAAACGCTCATTGCGGCCAAGGGCCGTTAGCCGCGGCAGTTACCACAGATTGTTCTTGAGCCGGTGTCTCTGACTGCACTTGGCACTTGGCAAAGATAGGTAGAGTACTTTTAGCACAGATAGATAGAGTTAGTTGTGCTATTTTATGTAAGTACTTACATACAAAATAAAATATTTAATTCTGTAAATGAAGCAGCATCAGTTCTATCATATTTATTTACTTCCCTAAATATTAGACTTGTTTGCCTGCAAAGTCCGCCTAAGTTTGGAAAAGTATGTTCATGTCTGATTCATAAACAAGATTCATTAAAATTCTCCCTTGTGTTTACGTAAAACCAAAGTCAGAACAAGAATGATATCAGACTTTTAATATTTAATTAAACTGGAGTACAAGATATTACAAACTTTAATGAGGAACTTTACGTACGCGCTATGAACTCCTCATTCCACTTGAGATGACGCCGCGTGGGACAAACGCTCATTGCAGCCAAGAGCCGTTAGTTCGCAGTTAATGCCGATTGTTCTTAAGCTCCCGCTTTCAACGCAACGCTAAAGCGAGTGTTAGTGGTGTGAGATAAACGTGGGGATAGAAACTATTTAGCAAAATCGACCAAAGAATCGGTAGAACTTCGCAAATTCGAGCCCCTATAGAAGAATACAAACAACAGTAATCCGCATCGATCAATAAAAATTAGGCGTACTTAATCGGTGTGCATAAAAAAACAACCGAACCACCTCCTTTTGTTGAAATCGGTTAAAAATAACTTCACGTGCCATAAAAATGACAATTTCAAGAACCTTCTG